GGGGGGACCCAAGCAGCCAGAACCACAAGGGCTTCCCCTCCCCTCGCAAAGAAGAGCCAACACCACGGGGAAGGAAGGGGGGACCCAAGCAGCCACATACAATGACAAAGTTGTCACCCATTAAAAGAATATTGGGACCGGCCCGACTCGCAGCTCGCGCCCTTTCGGCACAGACCCATGCGGTGCGACGCTTTGCTGCTTGGTGTCTCATTGATTTTGTTCCTCATCGGGATCCTGACGCGCATCGTTCACGCTCACACGACGTACACTCCGCTTTTGCATTGTCAATGGCTTAGAGACGAGCGCTGACAGGCGAAGTAGCGTCATATTTCCCCTCCGCTCCGATGTACGCTCCAAATCCGTGATCGACATCCTTCCACTGTCTTTTTGCCAGTATGCCGCCAAGAAGAACTCCAGACTTTACTTCGCCCATCAGGGCGAACCGCTGCCGCCGAGAGAAAGGCGTCCGCATCGTCGAGTGGAGCATGCTGGGTCTGACAGGGATGTTGGGCTCTGAGTGCGTGCTATTCGGCAGGGCGCCGGACCAATCGAAAGAAGCAAACTTGAGTGCCCTCCAGTCGGTCAGTGCAAGCCATGTAGATTCTGGTCGGGAGAACATGGCCACCTTGTTGGTCGTCCGATTCTTCCACAGTCCGTGATGGAGTGTAAAAGCCAACAGGGCGCGAGCATTCTCTGAATCAGCTCCGCTAGCCACTTTTCGCCGAATCTGTAGCGCCAAGCGACCCAGCGGCATATTGCGGATCTCTTGGACCTGAAGATCTCCAAGAGGCGTTGGCAAAGCAGCATTTATAAAATCGTGCTTTGGCCATTTAGGAGCGGCACTAGAGCGCCCAGTGTCTTTGTTCTCCACCCGTGTATCGGGGGTGCGACCCCTGAGATTGACGATTGTCAGGGGATTGACTTGCCGCGACTGCGCAAAGCCAGCGAAGCATCGTTTCAACAGCCAAGCATAAAGCACGTCTGACTTCCCTACGCTTGCCTCCGGTTCATCCTTCAGATCATTGGCTGCCTCTTGCTGAAGCTTGGCTACGATGTGATGCGGAATACAAATGCACCTTGCCTCCATGTCAGTCTCAGGTGCAGTGAAGTGCGAATCGTACCAGTATCTCATCAAGAACGAAGCTTTGTCCCTCCAGTTGTAGACGTAGTAGCCTTGCGGCGGCGGAGGGTCTTTTCCTAATTTGACCTCCTCGGCTGACAAGCTAGACAGGGCACCTCCCGGAGCGTAGGGCGCGAAAATGTCCATGCCGAAGTCGTACATAGGTTTGGGAGTCCCGCCCTTCAGAGCCGAGGTCCACGCTTCGAGTATGTCCTTGATACAAAAGCCATCCCCGAGTACATGCAGCATACTCATAGAGAGAACGGTGCCGTCTCGAAAGGTGGTCGCCTGAACAGTCAGCACGCCGACCGAGCTTTGTAAAGTGTCTTGGAAGGTCTTGGGTGCATTTTGACCGGCGTAGAAGTCACTGGCGCTGTCACTTGGAGCCGGCTGCACTCTGATGCTGTCATGTTCAGACATCAAGCGTTTAGCAGAGGGACTGAACTCATCCATGCTTCGCGTGGACATGTTCAGAGCAAAGAACTGCCTCTTGCGATGATCAGGATCCGACTCCAGTTGTACCATTCCTGCTGGCGTGGGGACGTGATACGCAAGGCCACTCGGCGACTCTGATGACTCTCGGACACGAGCATTGAGAATTGGCCAAGCCGATGAGACTTTGTACCACGCCTTACGGAGCTTCTCCACATCTAGTCGCTCCTGGAAACACAAGCTCAGTCGAGCGACGATATCCGTTCTGGTGGGCAAATCAGAATTGATATGGATAGTCAATGCATCCGCCGCCATATGTTATGCTCAGTGTGTTGTCCTCTCGACTCACAATCCTGTCGTTGAGTCCAAAAGGGGCACAGGTACGACTGTGTACAGTGGCGTCTGTGTCTCGTTGATCATGATTGTCAGGGTACGGGTATCTGCAGAGGGTGACAACGCGAAGCAGTGAGGGAAAGAGGAGGACCGGCGATCAGCAGCAGCAAAGTTTGTCCCGTCCCGAGATTTGTGAAATAAGGAAACGTGCTGTCACAGAGTATCAGTGCAGCGTAATCAACGATGAAGCAGAGCTCTGCTGAGCGCTTGCCCAAGCCGGCAATGTCGCCCGCGTTTGCCGGCGGGACCTCTGAGGTCAAGAAGCGCCTTTCAACCCTGTCGCTGAAACCATTTACCGTGCATGGCCGTGTCGGGCAATTTATGGCAACAGATTGGTTCCAAAGTGGCGGGGTTTGCAGAGCTGAAAGAAGCCGGCCTCTCCTTATCTTCTGGGTGCACCCAGAACCACGCGCGCGCTCAAAGTGGCAGCCGAGGCCGAGGGTCAATCTCCGATCTTGGCGCCCGCGCACCCTTGCCTTAGCGAGAATTCAACTTGGCGGCACCGCCTTCATGGTACCATTTCTGTGATGCTCGTCGAGGCCTCTGGCACAGAGTTTGCCCTGGCCCATTCTCTTCTTTCGTGCGCCCAGACAGGAGAGCAATCGATGGTCAGAGTTTCCTTCTCTGCAGGCGTGGACTGTCACTGAAGCCCGGGTCGACTCGGCTCTCGCATGGTGCTGCTCATGTTGCTGTCCGGAGATATCGCATCATCCGGGCCACGGGCGAATGTCTCATCCGACCACGAGCCGGCAACTGTCCTCGGCTTCTCCGGCCTCACACACATTATGGGGATCTCCTTATAATCCTGGGCGGCTATCTGGCATCGCTCGAAGACAAGCTCTCTCTCTGTGCAGAGATCTACGCCCACACGTACTTACCCTGCATCCACGATGCACTTTGCCTTCCTCACGATACCATCAGCTGGTGAATTCAATGTGCAGTTAGCTTCGGCAGGGGAACTCATTGAACTGGGCCACCGAGTCACTTTCCTGTCTGGCGAGAGCTTCCGCAAGCACATCGGACGTTTCCAAGACAGAGTCAGGGAGACGATATGCGAGGAAAAAGCTGCTTCGATTCACTTTGTCAGCCTAGGGTCTCGACATTCCGTTGAAGATTTGTGAGTCTCGTGGTGGTGGCCAGATGGAGTTCTCCTCTGCTGATCTGCTGAAGCAATATTCGGCTGGCATGTCAGCACCCCAACGGTTCAGCAGCGAATCCATGAGATGCGGCAACCACCGGGAGAGGTACTCTCCCTTCAGACTTGCATCGAGGTCGCCATGGTCGACACCGAAGAGCTCGCCTCAACGGCTGCCAAGATCGCCAATGTTGTCTCAGACCTGGATCCCGATCTGAGTGAGTAACCGTCTCAGGTTGTCAGTGCTTGCTCCAGAGCGAAGCTGACTGGAGGACCGCCTCTGTATGGAATGGAAACTAGTCATCGTCGACGTGCTGTCACCTGCTATGATCACAGGCATTCGCATGACGGGGCGCAAGTTTCTCTTGACCATCCCTTGTTCTCCAGGAATGACGGCTCGGACGGGACTGTTTGAGCCGCACCCAATGGCAGGAGATCGAAGAGGCTCCTGGCCCACTTTGATCGAGAGTACGTACATTAGGACACGGTCTCTCGTCTACTGTGCTCTACGGCCAGACATGCGCGCAAAGCGTGCTCTGCTCAAGGACACCCTGGGTCTGAAGAGTTTTGGCTTAACCAGCGACTTGAGCCTTCTTCCTCCATATTGGGAAGATCCGAATTGCCTCGGAGGTGTCCACTTCAACACTTTTGCGTTGACAGATTGTCTACAACAGCCAGACAGTATCGTCTTCGTCGGAGCCGGTGTAAATGAAGAGCCTCCATCCTGCGGACTTCAGCTAGAAACAGCAGAGCAAATGTTCCTGGGCCAGGCTCTCGCCGATGGGTGCGATGTCGTATACATCAACATGGGCAGTATGTTCATCTGGACTTCCGGAGAATTCCAAGCCATTACCTCTGCTTTACAAGATGTCTACCACGCTACAAACTGCAAGACGCGCTTCATCTTCAAGGTCAACAAGCCCGAAGTGGACAAGTGCTTCTTACCCTTTCTGGAAACAGGAAAGATACCTTCTTTCATACACCTCACTACCTGGATTGACTCTCAGCAATTCGTATACCGACACCCGGCACTCAAGGCCTTTGTGCACCATGGCGGTGGCAATTCTTTCAACGAGGCAGTCTACTTTGCCGTCCCACAGCTGGTGCTGTCGCAATGGATTGACACGCACGAGTACGCGTCTCTGACAGAACGCTTTGGTCTGGGACTGAGATCGGCCGAGCCACCTACGATACATCGAGCAGACGTACGTGACAAGCTTCTCGAACTACTTGCGCCGGCACGATGGGAACAATTCAAGAGCAATTCATGCCTCTGGAGCCTGAGAAGTAGGCTTGGAGGAGGACCCAGAGCTGCGGCCCAGTTCATCGAATGCCATGCTCTCAACATTGCACGCGAAAAGCGTAGAGATATCAAATCAGGCCTCCTTGGCTACTCTTTTCCTGGACACATCATGAAAGACATAGATCGAAAGCTTCACTACCCCTCCCAGGCTGAAGTCCCCCTCACAGTCGTCACGAATTGAAGGATCCCAGGTAGATTATAGACATATGCATAGCTCCAGTCCATTGTCCCTTCCACAGTCCCTTGAGCTTTTTCTTGTAATGCCACACTCAGTCACCGTTCCTCCTCGCGAATATACCCTGTGCGTCAGAAATAGGATATTGGCTTGCATAAGAAATAGTATTTAGAGTAGCTTGACGTCGGACCATAGACAGGGACTACAATTTTGTACGAGCGACAAAGCCCGAGACAGCATCGCTCTGCTCAGTCCCTACTTCTTCGTGGGACAGCCACAGCGTCAGAAGCTCGACAGTGCGACTGATGTAGGCTTCCGCTCGCTCCTTCTCAAAGTACTTCTCATCGTAAAGTGCCTGTACGCGGAGTTTCCCACGGAACACCAGAAGGGCAAAGCAAATGGATGGATCGGTATGCCTTCCGCCGTATCTGTAATCTGTGTACCGTAGCCACCGGCTCTTGTTCGACTCTTCGCCGCTTGCAATGTCTGTGCCGTACCATTCGGGCAATTCGATAATGCCTTGACTGGTTAAAGTTGGCTTTGAAATATCCGGTTGAGGCGAAGGCATCGGCCGTGTCCCGTTTTGGGTCGTCGTCTCGTACAGAGCTCGGGTGGAAGTGTCAATCTGCTTGAGGATGTGAACAGACTCTATTGCCGCCTCTTGCGCGGTCATTACACGTTGAGCGACCCGTGTCAGCATCTTGCGATCCTTTGCCTGCCCCTCAAGTTCGCCCTTATCGAGCCAAAAGCTCGAAGGAATGACACCCATGGTAATTGGTGCCGTGTTTGGAGACTGAAACCAGCGCCTCGTATGCGTGCTGAAGAGACACTCGACTCCGTTGGCCTTTTGCAGCTGTTCAGCCGTAGAGAAGTCGAGCGAGGCAAGGATGATGCAAGCCCAGTAGGCGGCGGTCATGGTGACACGGTCCTGACGCATCGCGGCTTTCAGTGAAGCAAGAGTGGACTGTGGAAAGTCTTTGAAGTAGCTTTGCATACGCGAATTCTGCCCGTGCCAGTCATCTCTGACAGAGGGTCCAACACTGACTCTCTCCATCGCGACTTGGGCGTTCTGAGCTTGACGGGCGGCGAGGCTCGAAATGTCTTGTTGCGTGGGGGTGGGGATGTGTGATGCCTGCTCGTAGGCATAAACCGCGCTGATGGGGAGGCGCTCAATCAGATCCTCGGGTACCTCTTTTCGGAAGACACCCTGTACACCCCCTGTACAGTCGTCCTGTACAAGCTGTCTTGCTATCTCTTCTAGTATAGTCATCACAAAGTGTCCTGAGAGCACGTGGGAAGAGTGAAGTACGATGCCCTGGGTCCCCGAGAAAGGTCGACTGACGAGGTGTATTTGAGGCAAGCGTCCTGTGTTTCTGTCAAGTGGCGTAGCTTTGCATCTATCTGCAACCTCCCTCATGGTGAGATCATCTTTTGCGATGACAATAGTCTGTTCGCACCATTCTTGGGCGTCAAGAGCCGTTTCAAACGGGGCGAACACAGCATTCGACAGGTCGTCGGACGGAAGACGTACGCCAACCATGGGATGTTGCTGTCGAGTTTTGACCCAGGCTGGATAGATGCTGTGCTCAAGTTCGTCCGGCGTCATGGATGATTCCAAATCTCCTGTGATGATCAGCTCACACTATGGGAGTGCAACAGTGCAGACAAGTCAGCGTGCTTGTCTCGAGAGCAGCTTCTGAGGAGACTCACATTGCCTGACTGGTGAAACTCGATCATATTGATGACGACTTCGAAGCCCTTGAGCCGGCGTGACAGGGAACCATCGCCGTCCTTCCGCCATTCTGACGGCAGTGAGAGTTCCTGAGAGATTGCCGCCATTGCGTCTTCTCGAGCGTCGGTCTTCAAGGTGAGCTGAAGAGCAGCTTGCAAAGATTCTCAGAGATGAAAAGAACCTATACCCTACCCTTTCACCCAATACCAGCGAATGCTCATCAGCTCTGTCCAGATTCTCTTTTGCGACTTGCGCAAGGCAGACGCTGCTGCAATCGCTGCAGCTTTGGGATGCGCCTAGATAAGCTGAAGTACCCGCGGGTCCTTGCCCTTTTTGAGCCGTGCGGGAAGGAAGAAGGCTGCAGGAGCTGCCGGATGGGACGCGTGAAAGTGGTCAGGTCTCAGAATCTGGGTGCAGTCCGGCAACTTATTTTGGGGACAGAGGGACATGCGCACCTCGGGCTGGGCAGTCCCCGTCGAAGCGAGCCACTTTGACTCGCGCATAGCACCACAAGTCGAATCTTTCCGACTCCGCCAATGCGAGAGCGGATGGGGGTCAAAAATTGGGGGACCACACGGCGAGTCACGGTACGGGAAATCGCGGCAAACGCCCGAGCGGCCGCCATCCGGTGGTCAAGGATTAGCATAGGCCCCGAGGATATCCCGACCTACACTGGACCGCCATGTAGTCTGACAGTACGCTTCTGTCACAGTAGGAGGTTCTTCGATCCCCCAACGCGTAGAGCCATCAAGAAAGCCGCATGAGCCACCAGGAAGCTCATCAAGCGTGTCTGGAGGGACCGCTATGGCGAGAGAGCAAGCCCGGCTCATCCATCTTCACTCGCTTGTGCCATGGCCAAGAAGCGTCTGCAAGCTTCAACCAGAACGTCTGCGATGGTCATACCGAGCTTTCCATGTGCCTGACCTTTCGTTACGATGGAAGCGGCGAAGATCTGGTCCTTCGATCAAAGGAAGCCTGGCGTCAGATTCGACGCTGGCATCCCGAGTCTGGGATCGAATTGAGTACGGGAACAGAAGAGGAGCAGACCATGACCTTCGTCGACTTTGCGAGCCGCGGCACAGAAGGAGCCATAGAAGAGGACCAATGGCTTAAGGAGACGTGGGAGGTCATTGAAGCGGGCAATGACCCACGCATTGCGACCTGGATAGACGTTGCCACACTCACCTATCGCCGCAAGCTTCCTACAGCCGGCAAGAGAAGCAAGATGTATCTGGTTCTGGCACCGAGGCAGCCATCGAAACCTGCAAGTCCTACCGATACAGTCGACGATCTTGACGTTCAAGATCACTGCTTCATCTGGAACGTGTCCCATGCGGTCACCGATGGCTTCAGCTTCAACAATTTCTTCAATACATTCCTGGAGCTGGTAGCTGGAGACAAGGCCACATCCAATGCTGTGAATACCGTTGCTATCGCCGAGCGTTTACCGGGCACTGTTCTGTCCGCTTACGTCATGAAGTATCAACCGAAGGAGGCAGATCGGAGACTTAGCAACGAAGCGGCTGCGGAACAAACAAGACTCTACCAAGCACGAGTACGTATGCTATCTCCGGAACGGGGGTCAGTGAGCCCGAAGCTGACCTCACTTTGTTTCCTCACAGATGCACGAATCAGTTGTTTTGCGGCCACGACCGGATCAGGCGTATCGGAGACATCTGACGACCTGCCTGCTGAACCGTCTGTCAGCCATCGTTTCCGAAAAAGTCATCCTCAGCCTCAAAAGACTCGCGGTTCCTATCTCGGTCACTTACATTGGAGCAGCTAGTCTTATACTGAGTATTCGCCGCTTATTCGGGACAGGCGTAGAAACGGGCGCGCTCCTAGGCCTCACCAGGAACGCACGCAGATGGGTTCATACAGATGGCGCCATCCGGTCTGGTGAAGAGAGCAATGCATTAGATGCACCCATACCAATGGCAACGGATGTTGTGTACCTTTGGGTACCGTTTGAGGGCCTTGAGTTGGCGAACCCGAGTAGTCCGGTGACCGCAGAGCACCTGGTCGCTTTGTCTTATCGCATCAGAAGTGCACTTGAGCCGCATCTGAGCAGCCCACATTACATCTCACAGCATCACCTCATGGCTGTTGCATTCATAAGGGCTCTTCAGAGCTCTCAGGGCCCGTCGAGAGAGCCGGAATTTGGTCCACAAGCTCCAGGCTTCTCCCCTGGTGGGGCATGGTCTATCAGAGAGCATTTCCCGGCATCCCAAGGCAGCAATGGTATCCTGCAACGGAAGTTCCTGTATCAGACTGGTCGGCAAGTGAGCCCTTCTCCTTGGATATCCATGTACGCCGTCAGCGGCAGAATCTGCTTCCACTTGGGCTTCGACGAGAAGTACTGGACGCGCGAGGACATGAAGGACCTGCTTCGCTCCACTAGTGACGGCGTTGCTAGCATTGCAGCTCTTTAATACGAAGCATGGATGCGTGAAGGTGATGATCTGAGAGACTCAGGCTGCACAGGGACTTCCCTCATAGCTCAGCCTCTCTGTAGACTACTCTTTTGGCGTAATGATCGATGTCGCGGTACATCCGGCCAAAGCTTCGGAGTCTCAAAAGGTAGGACGATGTTGCTGCCTGGGGTAAGAAGTCCAGGGAGCTTCTTCCGAGAGGCTGTCATCAAATGGTATAGATCAAGTCGCTCGATTCCCTGAGGTAGCTATCAAAGACGCTAGGCAGTCGAAGGTACTCGGTCCAGAGGCAATAGTGGCAGGCGGGGGGACAAGATGAGCTTCTCTAGTGCAGAGCAAGCGGAGAGGGTCAGGCTCTGAGGTCTGAGACGCGCAGTAGTCTTTGGTTCCTGGCCGCGCTCTCCAGGGACGGGGAGATCGCCGGCGCCCCCCCCCCCCCCCCTCCCCCCTCCCCTGGCGCAAGCTGAGTCGGGTCTTATGTTCCGAGGGTGACATCCGGTAATGTTGTAGCAGCGGCATAGAGTCGGCCTTGCCCTGCAGAAGTCGGGCCGCGCCCCGTAAGGCACAGCTTACGTGCTCGACAAAGGTCAGGCACCCGGTCCCACCCGGTCTGCCTTCAATATATGCCCGCCGCCGCCGCCGCCAGCACAGGGCCATCACAACACAAGAAGTGTGACCGTGCCACAGTCACATCTTTCATCCCTTCCGCACACTCCGTGTCATCGACATTGTTACCACCACATCGAGACAACTGCAACGACACACGCACCTTCGCTACTCTGAAACGTTGGTCAAGGACTAGTCCCTCCGACCCTCGTCATGTCAGGTGACAAGTTGACAGCTGCTTTCAACGGATCAAAGTCACTCTCCAAGCCATACTGCACTCGAAAGTCATCACGATGAAGCGACTATCCCTCACAGCAGAGATAATCTTCCATATCAGTATTCCCTCGGTGAGTTGAGCCTGTCGTAAGACTGTAGTGTCACAGAAGCGTTGTCTGACGGCTCTCTCAGACAATCTCTCCTCCCTCAATCTCTCGCTCGATCGAACAGGTAGATGTAGCAGTCTCGCGTGTACTCGCCTCAGAAGACACATCACCTGCAACTCGCTGTCCACCCAGACTCTGGCAAACGGAGCGCTCGCCTTCGACCTCTCAATACACCATACCCCTAGAGCCAGAATGCTCCTCCACTCCAGCGTCCGATGCCCTACCTGAACTCAACTCTATGGAGAAGCAACCTTCTTTACGCAAGGTCTGCAAGCTCACAACTCTCACTACTCAACATTGCAAGCACTTCGGCTTGCAATGGCCCGACACAGCAGACTGCCACTGCCTTCACAACTGGTACAGAATTGCTGGCTGGGGCACTTCAGCACCCTTGAGGAATCTACCTTCAGCATCAGACGTCTGCTCCTCGTACTTGCACCAGCGTCATAGCGTCGAGCGCCACTACTGAACTCGGAATAAGTCAAGAATGTGCGTCAGCTCATCTCTGCTGGTCTGACAACGAAGCATACGACAAAGCGACGGAAGTAGCTTGCCAAGGTGATGGCGAGGTCTGTCATTAAGCACGAACGTGAGCGTTCGGAGCCGCGAACAGGCGTGTGGTCGAATTACACTACCCAGGGTACTGGCGACAGTGTAACAGCGTAAGATTGCGACGCCTATCAGACGTGACGACGGGAGAAAACACGTACAACTGGATCCACAACCCTTCATCCGATGGGTCCAGAACCTCAACATAGGAGGCGCAGTAGGCTCAGAGAGCGCCGCTGGGGAGCGAACAGCAGCTCAGAGCGGTGGGGAGCGAAAGGATGGTTCCTCTGCGAAGAGGGCCATCGCCCGACGATGCCCCTCCCCGCCTAAAGGTCGCAGCTCAGGTAAGACCTGATGACAGTGGGGGTACGAGGTTCTCTTCGAGGCCATCTGCGCAGGTAAGTTCAGACGCAGCCTGGTTCAGTGTCACTCTCTGCCAGCTATCGAGCCCTTCACAGGTCCTCCAAGTCCTCAGACTGACATCCCATCTGCTTGAACGCCGCCCAGGAGCCCAGCCGGTCCTACTCTGAGGTCCTCCAAGCTGCCGTCCCTCCTGTAGGTCAACATCATCGACAACCAACACCTTCGCCTCAAGCTGCCGTCCCTCCTGTAGGTCAACATCATCGACATCACACACCTTCGCCTCAAGATGCCGTCGCCCCTCAGGCTGAACGTCGCCCTGTGCGAGCAGCCGCTGCTCGTCGTCAACGACGATATGGCGGCATCGAGGATGCCGTTGATGCACTCGACGACTGGGAGTCTGGCAGAGTACAAGCAAGGGAGTCAGAGGAGGCACCTTCCGGATCGGATTACCACGACAGTAGATCCGAGGAAGAGCCAGTCGAGCAGCACCACAAGAAGAAGAGGAATCCACTCTTTTACTACAAAGCACACGAACAGCATTTCGACGGCCTGCGCTCGCAGACCGGTCGTCAAGTTTGGAGCAGGACCACGTCGTTGTCAGACCTGCCAATTAGCTGGCAGGATAACGGCCTAGTCTGGTGGTAAGTGTCCAACACCTGCTTCGCTTCTTGACTGGTCACTGACTCGATCAATCCTATCGCCGACGCATCACTCAGGCGAACAAATGTAAATCACATAAAGCGATACAAGCTGGAAGCTGGGCTGAACGACAAGATACAGCTCAATTGTCTTCAGGACTATAGGGGAAGTCGCGGCAGATTCGGCCGTACGGCCGATGCGATTGCAAGCATGCATGCGTGGGAGGACGCCCGTGCCGCGGACTTGCAACAGAACGTGATCGACCTGGATGAGGACAGCAACGACGAGGCGGTTGCTGCTGACCAGCATAACAGAGGGAGAGGCGGGGCAAGACCTAGTCGATACCTATACAGCGAGCACTTGGCGCCTTTCGACGCTCTCAGAGATGCCGCCGAAGTGGAAGCCTGGGACATGAGAAGGACGAAGCTATCCGATTTGCCTCTGTCCTGGCAGGAGGAGGATTTGACGTACTGGTAAGTGTGCAACAGTCGAGCTGCCTTTTATCGAGCCGATCACTGAACCTACTCGACATTCTCAACGACGCAGTAAATGTAACTTGGAGTTCACCAAGCGGTACGAGATGCAGAGACTTCTGAACCACAAGGTTCAGCTGGCCTATGCTCGTGCCTGCGCTCTTGTGCAGCTGATCGTCATCGGCGACAGCTTGAGCGGCCTGCGTGGCAATGCCCTCGAGGCAGAGCGGCAGGAGTGGATCAGCAAGCTTGACGGCAAGCTGAACATGTGGTCAACACCGACAGCTGCATCGTCTGGGTCCTCACCACTCTTTCGCTCAGTACTACTGCGCAGACCATCACCCTCTTCGCTCATCCTTGTTGCCGGAATACCGCCTTGACGACTGTACACCTTCACTACCTACATGACCCCCATGCAAGCGAAAATTTGCCACTTGTAGTCAGCTCCAAAGCGCTATTCCGCACTTGTGCTTGTCGAGTCATGCTGGTCACAGAGCGGTCAGACATGATGGTCACAGAAAGGACATGCTGGTCACAGCGGAGGTCGGACGTCGTGACAGTCTTTTCCTTTCATCAATCGTCAGCGCCTGTATATAGGGGAGACAAAAATAATCACCAACACAAAACACCATTTCCTGGCTTTCCAGACTATTTCGAGCTGTTTCCGGATCGTAGTAGAGGGGCACATCTTTGCTGCTTGCCCGTGTCCAGGCAAACGGGAGGTGCCAGGCGTCAGGTATTCCTCAAGCGATAGAGGTCATCGTGAGACTCGGCGAATTAGATTCAGACACAAAAAGTCCTTGGAAGTGGTCTGCTCCCACTGCTCAACGTCAGTAGAGGTGTGTCTCATGCCCAACCGCGGAAAGGGGGGGGGAAGGGTCCCAGGACCGGAACGGCGCGAGCCGGAGTGAAGGGGGTTGGACCGGAGTTCCGGCGACTGGGCCGGGTGTTGGTCTTGAATCCAACGCGAGATGAGGTGGACATTGTCCGCCTGTGGCGCCCCGCCTGGCTCCGCCTTTGTACCCGCAATGCTTCAGCCGCCTCTCCTCCCAGTCTCCTGTACCCACGCACCACACAGCACGGCAGACTTGTATCGCACCGCTTCGCCTCCTCTTTCATCAATCACCTTCCGCCGAGGGCAGTACCGCCTTGATCTCTCTCCCCCTCTTCCTCATTCATCTACTCCGCTCCTGAGCTCTTCACTCCTTCCAGACTTGAAGACTGCAGGACGCTCACCCAACGACTTGCCCCTCACACATCATGGCTTCGTATTCGGGCCAGTACCAATATGACCAACGTCAACAGTATGCGTACGACTCGCAAGCCCCTCCTACCTACTATCCCGATGCGCAGCATCAGGCGGACGATTACGTCGAGAACGTCCGCGACTCTCGGAATGCTGAAGTGAGGAGGACATTCGGATATGCAACGAGTGGAGAGGCAGATGAGCAATACTGGCCCGAGGATCATCATCAACAACAGTCTACGAGCTATCAACGTGCTACTCCATCAGAACCCCATGCATACCCACAACGTCAGCATAGCACCGTCACACGACTCAGAGGAGCAGCCCCGCAAAGGCCTACCGACTCGCCCTCGGTATACACAGATCCATACGAGTGGCAGTCCCATGCTGGCTTCAACACCAACGCTACCAATACTCCCAACCCAAATCTGAGTGTCGTTGGCTACGACTATGCCCAGGATGGACAAGACGGGCGGGGCTTCCTTGGGTCGGATCCGTATGCCAGTCGTGGGCAGACACCGAAGGTCGGCGCAAACCTAAACAGAGCCGACACACTCCTGCCAGGAGACTCCATCTCGGCCTACAAGGTACCTGCACCCCACCCACGGAGTAGCCTAATGATGTCGGCTATTCCCAGTCAAGAGTCGGGAGCTGCAGCCAGCTACAGAGATTCCATCTCTCAACGAGGGTCGTACTCGCAGCAGGGCGTGGGATACGCTCTCCCTTCCCAACAGGCTCACGGAGATGATACACTGTATGAAGAAGAAGGGGAGGAGGGCTACCGTACCTATCGAGCTGTAGGTTCAACCAGCCATTCTCGGTACGACTCGACTGCGTCCGGCTTCGACAATCAGAGTCCAACCAAGTCGACAACTGCTCTTGCCCATCCACCCTATCCCATGGCGTACGCTGATGACGAGTACGACCAGAATCGGCAGCTGACAAACGAGCCAGATTACTACAATGCGGGTCCGGATGCGTACGGCTACGACTACTCTGGCAAGCCCTCAGATGGTTACTACCATCACGGTGATGGGCCGCCTGCAACACCCGGTCTCTTCTCCAATCATCTTGCCGCTGCTTCTGCTGACCCTTCGCTTAGCAAATCTTCTGCCATGATCGACAGAAGTGCTTTCGAGGAAGAAGAGGCAAATACAAAGAAGGGTCTGCTAGGCTTCAAGCAAGACTCGCTGCAGAGTCAGATTGACAAGCGCAGGAGAGGGATCGGCCGACAGCGCTGGCCAATCTTCACCTGGGTCCTCTCCCTCGCCCTAGTAGGAGTCTTCGTAGCCGAGCTGATCAAGGCCAATGCCCTGACAGGTCAGGCAATCCAGACTCATCCCTCGATCAACCCCATGATCGGTCCTTCCTCCCAGTTCCTCATCTATTTCGGTGCACGCTTCGTACCCTGCATGAGAGACATCCCTGCCGTGCCCACTAGCACAGAGCTTGCTTGTCTCAACGCCAGTACCCTCTCCACCATCACGACCTCGCAAGAGTGCCCTATTTGGGAGATTTGCGGCCTTGACTCCGCCACATCCTACGGGCAACTGTGGCGCTTCGTCACCCCCATCTTTCTGCACGCAGGAATCGTACACATCCTCTTCAATATGGTCGTCCTTCTTACGCTCTGCGCGCAGATCGAGAAGCTCATCGGTACTCCCTTCTATCTCCTCCTGTTCATCGCAGGCGGCATCGGTGGCAACCTCCTGGGAGCTAATTTCGGCATGGCGGCTACGCCTTCGGTAGGCGCCAGCGGGAGCATCTACACCTGCATCGCGATTGAGCTCATCGACCTCGTGTACAACTGGTCGCACGAAGCCAAACCCAAGACACGACTCTGCGTGAGCATCATCTTTACCCTCGTTGGACTCGCACTAGGCCTCCTGCCCGGGCTGGACAACTTTGCCCACATCGGAGGAATGGCCGTCGGCCTGCTCGGCGGGCTCCTCGTCTGTCCCTCCATCCACACCACGAAGCGACACCGCGTGCTCACATGGGTCTTCCGCCTGATAGGCCTCGCCCTCCTCGTGGCCTACTTTGTCGCCCTCGCACTCAACTTTATGAATGCAGAGGACCCAGCCACTGCTTGTACTTGGTGCAGGTACCTTAGCTGCTTGCCTACCTTTTCACAGTGCAAGAACAATGGACTGACGACGACGACGACGACGAGCTCTAGCTCCAGCTCGAGAAGAGAGCTGTGGACGCTGTAGATTGATGGGTGAGACCAAGCAGAAGAATGGGCACACGTCGCTGGACCGACTCGCAGGGAGACTTCGTGTTGGGGGTGGCTGTCACATCCTAGGTCCCATCCATCCTACGTCCCATCTATGTGCCCCTTTGGTACTCTCAGTTCCCTCCTTCCCGTGTACATTCCCCCATACCCCTCCATGGACAATTCTTCCGATCTCAATCCCCTCGCCCTTCTTTGTCCTAATAATACCTACGACTTTCCTTCCCCTGACTTCAGCGGTTCGCATCACCAGTTGCATCGACTGTAATTAGCTTTTCGAATGGGGCCTCTCATTCTCTACTTCCAGCCGGTCTTTACGCGATTGATGCTTCTTGTCTGTTCGTGAGTGAAGGTATCTCATGTAGCTTCCCTCTATTGAATGGTTGGGAAAGGAGCGTACATCGCCTTGGGCTCGGTCTCTGACTCTCACATTCGCAGATGGTGATAGCGATGGTAATGCTGATGTGTGGTTATTCCTCTTGTCTCCCTCTACGACTCGTCCATGCTGCCTTCTTCTCCCTTCTCCAGCTTCTCCCGCGCCCAGACGGCGAATCCATCGATGAGACTCGGCCAGGCAGCTGTATTCAGGCGAGAGCACAAAGGTAAAGGTCAGCAGGAGGTCCGGATGCTGGACGAGTAGCAGTCAATTTCGCCCGATGCCCTGCTGTGCTAGTGGCTCACCATCAAAGTCGTGCGTCTTGAACTCCGGGTCGATGTCGGCTGTAAAGTCCAAGAACTGACCGACATGCAAGAGAACCAGGAGGCAAGTCAGTCTTCCATTCCCACCTTTGCCCAACCATCGCTCCCAGAATCATCTCTCCTACTCACAAGAGACCAAGTATCCTTGCTGACTGCCTTTCCCGCCGTCTTCTCCTCCAGATACTCCTTCCATAGCTCGAGCTGTCTTGGTGTGAAGTTTCCGCCTTGGGTCTCAAAAGTAGGTGCGTGGGGTATGAGGAGATCCCAAAAGGCTAGAGCCGAGTCCAGGGCTAGGGGCCAAAGGTGAGCCAGGAGAGAGAGTGGATCAGCGACAAGCCGCTCTTGTCCGGGATTGCTCCCTGCACCTTTTACTCACGCAGACTCTTCTGTCCTTCTGGTCTTGCAAAGGTATAAGTGTACTCGTACACCCTCTTGAACAATCCGCCCTTTCCTGCTCCAGGTGCCTTCGCCAGGTCTCCCTTGACCGGCGCATCCTTGCTCAGCTCCTCTCTCAGACTAGGCAACCTGGCCTTCATCCCTTCTATGGTATCGCACTCCCCCTCTGCTCCAGCAGCCAACACTCTCCACCCATCTACGAATGCCGTCTTGTTGAACTTGCCCATGGTAGGGGACGAGAGGTAAAAGGAGAGGGGCAGGAGTGCCACATCTTCCGGAGACACTCCCAGCTCCTCACAGTACTCCATGGTACCATCAATGTTCATCTCCTGTCCTCCAGGCACCTCTTGATCTGCAAATCGATCAAAGATTGCTCCCAGCTTGTCCCTGGCTTCCTTTTCCCTCTTGGCAGAAGTGGATCCCTTGGCCGTGCCGCCAGAGGAAGAGGCGGCAGCGTTGCTGATTGCCGTTGCGTCATTGTAGAATGCGTCTACGGCAGCTTCTATGCGCCAATTGGACGACTTGAGGAGACGTGTGCCGTCGGCAGCAGAGGCATTTGTGAGGGAGCGGAACTGCTTGAGAAGATTTGCCTGGGTCGCCTTGGACGTCTGTGGGGGTGAGGGTTGCGAAAGGTGGAGAGAGAGGGTGAGGAGTGTCAGTCTAGGCAGCCAAGGCAAAGTGTATGCCTCTTCTGCTCACCATGACTGTGCTGCGGAGGGAGGGTGTGCGAGGACGAGTAGGGCGAGGTGAGGATGATGGTAGTCAGCAGTGGTACTTTGAGGCGCGTGTGTGACTGAGTGTCTGCTTCTGCGCGCCTGGCTGTGGTGTGCGCCTGGTGTGCCTTTGTGCGTGCGCCGGGTTGCGCTTGGGCCACCCGCACGGCTGCATCGAGGGCAACGTCGAGCGAATGGATGCGTAGCAGATTACCGATCATCATCCGCAAAAAGGAGCCGATAGGCAAGACTTGTCCTTGCTCACGTCGGTACCATCGCCCCCTCGATACCATTGCTCCTCACCATTCTCTTCCATACCACCCCTACGCTACAAACATGCCTGGCTGCTTCTCCGTCTTCAAGTCCATTCCCACTTCCGGCGAGAGGCCACTTGCTCTCTCCCGCCAGCCCACAGCCGCATCCTCCAAGTCGACACTCGTAGACGATGGCAGCAGCTCCTTTAATGAGAAATTGTGTCCAAATGACAAGCCCAGCGCACATCCTCCCCGCTCTCTCCTCAAGCCAACGCCCACGGGCGATCGCCTGACTGCTTTGCGAGCCCTGATGTCCGCTGCCGACTTAGACCTCTACCTCGTCCCCTCCGACGACGCCCATGCCTCCGAGTACACTGCTCCTCGCGACCAGCTGCGTGGCTTCATCTCCGGCTTCACTGGCTCTGCAGGGTTCGCAATTGTAGCAAAAGAGGGCTTCGCAGGCTTGTGGACCGACTCGAGGTACTTTGTACAGGCGGAGCAGCAGCTCGATGCAGAGCACTGGACACTCTTCAAGTTGGGACTGCCCGAGGTGCCAGGGTGGGAACAGTGGTTGACGAGCGAGTCTTTTGAGGTCTTGGGCAAAAAGAAGCTCACCTTTGGTGTGGACGCTCGATTGATCTCTCAGGGGACAGTCAAAAGTCTATTGGAAAAGGGCAACGTAGGAAGCTACAAGCTCGAGGGAGTCTTTGACGAGGACTCCCTCGTAGCCAAGGTCTGGAGTGATCCTCATCTGCCCTTTCACCAGTCCTATCCACCCGCACTCGACACGCCCGTACACCAGCATCCCCTCGAATTTGCAGGTGAAGAAGCTCAGAGTAAGCTAGGAAAGATCGTACAGTGGCTCAATGGCGCCGACATGGCTGATCTAGTCGGAGAGAAGTCAAAGAGCCAACTCCTGAGCAAGAAGTATGGACCCAAGCGAGGAGAACACTACGTTGTCAATGCACTCGATGAGGTGGCATGGACCTTGAACCTACGAGGGCTCTCGATCCCCTACAATCGTAAGTAGGACAGAACGTAGCTTTCCCTGCATTGCATAACGCTGATTATGCATGTTTTTCTCTGTCTCACAGCCGTCTTCCCGGCTTACTTGGTCATCTCAGTACCTTCTGATGAGTCCAGGACCTCTGCAAAGACTGCATACTCTGCCCAGCTCTTCGTCCCTCCGCAGCTCCTCTCACACAACGTCGATGCAGGCACCTACTCCTACGTGACTTCAACGCTCAACGTAGCTGTCCTCGACTATGCCGACATCTGGTCCGCTTTGAAGGAGCTGCCGGGCAAAGGCAAGGTGATTCTGGGGGACAAGGCCTCTTACGCCCTCGTCTCCTCTGTAGGCTCCGAGCGAGCCTCCTTGCAACCCAACGGCGGCTTGCCCATTGCCCTGCTGAAAGCACGAAAGAACGCCGTCGAGCTAGAGGGTATGCGCAAAGCCTACCTACGGGACGGTATCGCCTGGGCAAAATGGGCTGCCTGGCTAGAAGAGACGGTCCAACGGCGCGGTAGTAGTAGTATCAATGAGTGGGACGCCGCTGTGCGCTTCCAGCAGATCCGCTCTGGCATGCACAACTACGCCGGCTTTGACGCTTACGAGTCCATCTCTGCCTCTGGTGGCAATGCAGCACTCCCGCACTATGAGACGCCGGAGGAAGGTAGCAAGGTAATCGATCGCGTCACGCCTTATCTCAACGACTCGGGCGCCCAGTACTTCGATGGTACCATTGACTGTACCCGGACGGTACATTTTGGGAAGCCCACAAAGGAGCAGAAGCATGCTTATACGAGGGTGCTGCAGGGTCATATTGCCATCGATTCAGCGAGTGAGTAATGAGGAAGAACGGGGCGCTTCAGAAGAGCGAGTTAGGGCTACATTGCTGACCGCTGCTGCTGCTCCCTCCTACACACCATTGGTGCCAGTCTTCCCCGAGGGCACGAGTGGAGCTGCTCTCGACACGTTAGCTCGGATCAATCTCTGGAAAGACAAGCTCAACTACCTCCACGGTGAGTATTCCGCCCCCACCATCCCGTATCAATACATTTCACTCACATTCTCCCCACCCCGTTCCAGGCACCGGCCACGGCATCGGCTCCTTCGGGTACGTACACGAGGGCCCCTCCAACTTCTGGTTTGGTATAAGCGCGGGCGCAACAGGCGCCTCGTACATCCCTCTCCAGCCAGGGTTTACGCTGAGCAACGAACCTGGCTTCTACAAGCCCAACAAGCACAGCGGTATTGAGGATGGTGGGTTTGGGCTGAGAATCGAGAGCATCGTGGCCGTCAAGGCGCTGCAGCCCGATGTAAATGGGGGAAAGTGGCTGGGATTCGAGAGATTGACAAGAGTGCCGAGTGAGTAGAGCGCGTCTACCTGCACGAGCATGAGCGTGTAGAGACCCAAGGCACTTATCACTGACACTTCCACTATTCTCCCTCCCACACGCTTCTCAACAGTCGCTACTAACCTCGTAGACTTCTCTCTTCTCACGCCCACCGAGAAGAAGTGGTTGAAGGACCACAATGAGCAGATCAAGAAGGAGGTGGGGCCATTCCTTCGAGGCGACAAGCGTGCAAAAAAGTGGTTGGACAAGCAGTAGGTCGGGGTGGATTGCGAAGTGTGCGAGTGCTGTCGAAGGTGAAGGTAGTCAAGCGGGCGGGCGGAAGGAGTTGGTGAAGATTTCGAATACCAGTTCAGTCACCGAGCTATTGCTGCTTCAAGGCCCTTTCGTGTTATCTCTATTTGGATGACTGAAGAGCTCTACGCATCCACGCCATTACTCTATCCTCCGGTCCGCCCCACCCAACAACCTTCTCCCCCACTCCCTCGTCGCTCCCTCCATCTCCCGTCTAAAGACCCCACTGAGCACCTCAACCCCAATCTTTATCCCCTGCGAAACCTTTTCGCTCTCCACTTTTCCCCTACCCGCATCGAGAAGGGAGAGGACCACCCGTCCGTCCCTTGGGCTGATGGCTAGTGTGAGGTACGGAAGGTCCTGCGTCTCGCTGAGTGTGGGATCGATGAGGAAGGTGCCGACTGCTGCTCCTCCTCCTCCTCCGGCAGCTGTCACGCTCGGTGGTGATCTCGGATGGAACGCGATGCACGTCGCAAGACAATAGTCGAGTGTTGCCAATCCTGCACTTTGGAGTGCTAGAGAAGCAGTATTGAGCAAAGTGGCAAGGATGGACCCGTCTGAGGAGGCGATTTGGAGAGAGAGGTGAAGGACGGATGTGCGTGGGTAGAGGTGAAGGGAGATCATGGGGGCGAGGGTGCGTTGCACGAGGAGAGCGAGCTCGACGTTACGGCTGGCGTGGAGATGTCAGCACAGTAGTCAGCATCAGGACGGTTGTACTACGGTGGGCTTTTCCCTTCCTCCTTGCTCGCCCCGCCTGTTCAAACTCACCGGTCACCCCTACCCCCCGCTCTCCTCTCCGCACCAACACTACTCCAATTCTCCGCCAGAACTTCGACGTCCAGCGCAGCTCCCTCTGGTCCCACTCCCATTTGTCCGATACCGCCACTGCCGCCGGAGCGATTGCCAGAGAGTTGAGCATCGCGGGGACCAAAGACGCTACAGGTCACATCGTTTAGCCCCTGCACAAGGCGGACACAGCCGTCTGCCTTGTCTGACGAAGAGGCAGGGCCGGCAAAAGCGCTCGCTGAAGAAGAAGAAGAAGCGGAGGATGTAGAGGGTCCGGCAGTAGCATTGCTGCCTCGAAGCTCATCGGGCGCAAAGTGGATCTCGAGAGAGCGGAACTCGTAAGGCCGGCGGCCGTCCATCCGCAGAAGGGAGGGTGTGAGGAGCTCCGGGCGAGACATGCTGAGCAGGCGGGGCGCTAGTATCGGAGTAGTGAGCTCTTCTTCTGAAATCTATGATCCACTGATCGAACGCAACAAGGGAATCGGGGGACGATTGGGAGGCGGCGAGGGAAGGCGGGCCGAGGTGAGGAGGTCGTTCGGTATGCAGGAAGGAAGATCTCAACTTTTGAGCGTCCTTTCCGGAAGCGAGGAGTCGGAACGGAACTCAGACGCCCCTCCACTCTACACTCGAAAATCAGCAATACGGAGATGAATCAGGAGCTCTTGCTTGCTAGAGCATCGGAACATTGGGAAAGCAGCTATATACAGTGTGCAAAAGCCAGGAAAAGACTACGAAGTCAGCAGAGGCTCACTTCTCCCCACCAATCGGAGTCTGGTGGCCCACGGCGGTGCTCGCGCCGTCAATGTCCTCGTGGTCGATGCTGTCTTGACGGTGAGGCTTTGCCTCTGCGTTGTAGCGATGGGCCTCAGCAGCAGCAAGTATCAAGACTGAGAGTGTAGCAGCAGTACTAATGATGTAGAAAGCGAATGTGGCTTGGACTTCCGGTGCGGTCAGGTGTTGCCAAGTGATAAAGTAGACCCACGCAGCGATGCCACAGCCGAGGAGCACGGCGAGGGCAATAGCGGCCGAGGAGAGCAGCAAGATTGCCGTTGCTTTCCTCGGAACCATCCAGATGTATGCCACATTCACAAGCAGACGTGCGACAAGTACGACCACGCAGGCTGCAAAAGTGCCAAGCCACAGGCCGAGCTCGAAGAGATTCTCCCAAGAGGGGTAGTACAGTCCTTCCTCCTGCGCATTGTAGGTGTAGCCTTCACTCCAGCTTCCATCTCGCCGCTCGGGAGCTTGCGTGGCAGCTGCCACCGGCACCGTGGACGTCGCTGATGATTGCGGTGCTGAAGTCGGCGGCGGGTTGACAGTGCTTGGAGCAAGGGAATAGTCGAGGGCATGGGACCGTTCGTATTCTCCTGGTGCCCACATCTTGAGAGTGCTCGCAGAGACCTGAGCGAGGGAGTAAATATCTCCGTATCCGGCGGTGCCAAAAACTCCCGGATACATCGTCTGTGTTGCAGTGGTGGTGATAGTACCCGAAGTACTACCAAGGAAACTTTGACGGGTATTTCGAATGTAAGCCGTAGTGGACGAATTGTCACTCAGTACCTGCCTCGTAACAGCGGTATAGGAGATCACTGGCGAGTAAATGGCAGTCGCTCCTGTGTAGGTAATTGTCACTGTTGCGATTTGAGTGCCAAGGTCGAGTCCATATCTAGCTCTGTCCCCGCCGCTCGCAAAAGGTCCCTGCGAAGACAGATCCACAAACGTGTGAGCGTCGTTGAGCGCATATAGCGCCCACGAGAGTAGTGAGACTGTGACTATGAGAATTGGCATCTCTACTGCCAAAGCCGTTTTGAACCATCGCTGATTGACCATTGAAGGGAAGAAGTAGGTGGGGAAGGATAAGAGATGGATTCTCGCGGGGGAGGGGCTTCCCTTGGCGGCTGAAGCAGCAAGTATCTTAAGCTCTCTGAGTGGCAAGGATGGCCCGTCCGGTACAACCTCTGTCGCTCTTCCCAATGTTCACCTGGAGAGGTAGAAGTATCTCCCTCTCGACTTGTGTCTTCGCCTAAAGTGAGTGTCGTCAGGGTGCTGCAGATGTCCGACGCGCCTCGCTTGCAAAGCAGCGGAAGCGGGATGCCAAGACTCGCCGGGTAAGGCGGTGCGGTGCGCTCGAGTAGACTAAAATCCTATCGAAGGCTCTGTTGAGCAAGATTGCCGACGGTCCCGGACAAGGGAAGCTGCAGCCAGACAATCGATTGCATCATCGCCACAATCCCGCCCCTACTCTGCACCACCAGAGGCCACTTCGGTAGCTTCGACTCCTAGAGCCATGCTGCACGTCTTTGCGTTGTATTATCACTCTTTGCCACCATTGTTTCCTCGGCCACACACGCCCTCACCTCCCAGTCCTTGCGCTCTTGTCTGAGCGACCGCCTCGTTGCACAAACGACATTGCTAGCTGGAGCACGCAAACTCACAACGTCAGACATGGGTGTGACAATTTCATGAATGTAAAAGCAGACAGCAGCCTACAAGGGTGAAGAAGCATTACTTCTCATACGCGGGCGGAGGTTGATGATCAGACGCTGTGTTCGCGCTGTCCACTTCCCCTCTGTCGACTTGCTCTCCTGTCATCTCCTGCAAAACAATGGTCTCCTTAGGCTTGAACCTTGCTTCCCTCTTGTAGCGCTGCAGTTCGAACGCTCCTGCTACCAGGACTGGCACAGTCGCAATCGTGCTGATGATATAGAATATGAAAGTAGCAAGCACCTCTGGAGCTCGGAGGTGTTGGATGAGGACAAAGTAGGACCATGCAGAGATGCCGCAGGCGCTGAGGACAAGGAATGCAATGGCAGCTGTGCAGAGCAGGAGCACGGCGGTCGGCTTTCTCGGAGTCATGCATACATACGCAACATTTACAATGAGGCGCAGCACGATGACGGCCAAGCAAGCTGCGAAAGCTCCCAGCCACAACGGAAGAAAGTACTCGTTATCTGCGTCATCGTTGTACAGGCCGTCTTGCATTGCATGGTAGGTATATCCCTCGCTCCAGCTTCCATCTCGCCGTTCGGGAGCCGGAGTGGCACTTGCCGTCGGGACTGACGTCGTTGTCGTCCTCGAAGACTGGGTCACTGAAGCCGGTGGTGTTCCCACAGTGCTCGGCAGGAGACCGGCAGAAGAAAGGTATGCGTCATATTCTCCTGATGACCATACCTTCAGGCTGCTGGGATTGACGTGAGCCTGAGAATAGATGTCCCCGTAAGGGGCAGTCCCTCCGTATGCGGGCCATAGTGTCGAGGTCTGTGTAGCCGTGATTGTGCCAGAGGTGGTGCCGAGGAACATTTGGCTGGTTTGTCTGATAACAACGGTAGTGGATGTGTTTTGATAGTATACGGACCTTGTGCGGGTAGCATATACGATGACGGGCGAGTACAGATAGGTCAAATCTGTGAAAGTTGTGGTCAGCGTGACAATCTGAGTGCCCAGATCCAGCCCATACTTGGCTTGGTGCTTGTTGGGATAAGGATTACTGATGCTGACCATGCCGATGAAGGTGGCGGCGTCGTTTAGTGCGTAAAGCGCCCACGATAGTAGAGCAAGAGTCACGATGAGCACAGGCACCTCCGCTACTAGTGCCGTCTTGAGCCATCTTTGATTGATCATCGCCAAGGCGATCAAAGGTCAAAACAGCGTGCGATAGGAAGGACTACTTGGGCGTATCTGTTTGTATCACAGGCGCGTGGAGATTGACTTCTCCGGGGCGATGTGGGGTAAATGCCAAGCATCGATACCTTTATAGCTGCCTACCTGTCTCTGTCTGCTGCGTGCATCTCACTGTTCCCCTGCCCCGCGCCAAGCATCGACAATCTCCCCTCTCGACTTTCACCTCGTGCTGAGCTCCAACTCTCGTCCGTCCCACGCACCGCAGGTCCGACGCACCTCGCTTACTTGTACGACTACTAGAACTTCGACTGCCGCCGGACCGCGCCTTTGCCTCTTTCAATCTCCTCTGCTCCTCTGCAGGCGTTTCTATTATCAGCCATCAGCACTGTTCTCCTCTTTCTTTGGCCGATGGTGAAAGCACTGCGCTCGCTATACTCCTCTGCTCTCAAAGGTGTCAAGGACTATCTCCCTCTAAGCCCTCTCGGGTCGCACTGCGCAACACCTAAAGGGCCCCTTGGTGGACGTCCCGAGTGGGTGCAGACGCGGGAAGCGGGGGGCGGGGATTGCCAAGAGTTGCGCGAGACAGCAAGCGATGCGTTCACCTGACCCTCCGCCTATCGCGGACTCTGCTGCGAAGCGACTTTGCCGACGCTTGCGAGATAAGACCGGATAATCCCTGGCATCAAGCCGCCGTGTTCCCCGGTCCCGCGCTGCAAAAGACGCAATGGGTACTTCGATGACATTGAAAGAGGCAGAACGCAGCAACGGAAAGCAATGATACAGGTAGCGGAGATAGGGAGGGGCACAGGAGAAAGACAACAGAGAAGGACAAGCGACGGACATCGTTCAGGCTCAGAGCACCTCATAGGTTGTCCACATCGATCCTAGGGTGGACCATGAGCACAGCCTGGCCAGGCGTCCTCGTAGCAGCCGTAGTGCCAGTGGCATCCGCCGTACTTCCCCGTTCATCAGCAGCAAGCTCACTCTCAGCCTGCATCTCACTAGACTGCCCTTGTTGAGTCTCCTCTGCTGCTTCCTCCTCAGGATCCTCCCTCATCTCCAGTAGATACGAGTCCTTGATGAGCTTGCTCAACACCTTGTTCACCAGCTCCTTCTCAGCCTCGAGCTGCTCCAGGGACTCAATGTCCTCTTCGCGCTGTTCAAGGTACCATTGCACCAGCTCAGCCCTCGGCACTCCTTTGAGAGTCGAACGCTCAATCGACGAGACTCGCAAGAGAAGGAGATTGAGCAACTCCATGTATCGATCGTAGGTGATCCTCACCCTAGCACGCGAAGACGACGCGGGAGCAGGCGTTGAAGAAGTGGCAGGTGCAGCCGTCGCCGAACGCGCACGAGACACAGAGGGAGAGCCTCGGGCGTCGGCATCGTCTTCAGCATCCTCATCCATCTGGCTGTCGTCCATTCGGAGAGAGGATGAGGATGGGTCTGCAGGCTGCTGAACGGATGGCCTACCAGCAATCTCCTCCTCCTCGTCTTCGATGTCGATGTCGTCCTTCTCGACGTGGATGATCGACTGCCTGAGCAAGGCGTAAGCTTCTCTGACAAAGGCAGGCGTGATGTCGCTCCTGCAGTTTGCCCTCGCAATAGCCTCACTGAGACGGATCATCGACTCGAGCTGCCTGACAGTAATGCGGTAAGAATTCTTACCAGCACCAGCGTCATCTTGTCTGAGCAAGCGGTACTTCTCAACCAGTACATCGCTGGCCTCTGGTGTGAGCTTGGGCTGGAAGGTTCTAGCGTACCTGATGTAGCGCTGAATGGCCTCGGTCGAGAATTCGGGCGAGATTGCTTGCTCTCTGAAACGATGCACATTGACAATGTGCTTAGCGATGTTCATATCCACAGCCTCGTTACACTCGTCCAGTACGACGAAGAAGAGATCGAAACGAGACATGATCGGCGCCGACATGGCCACATTGGCCCTGAGGGTTTGCTTGCGGTTGTAGCGTCCTCCCACAGGATTGGCAGCGGCGAGGATAGATGTACGAGCATTGAGCGTAGCCTGCAGGCCGGCCTTGGCAATGGAGATTGTCTGCTGTTCCATCGCTTCGTGGATGGCAACCTGGTCGGAGACGTCCATCTTGTCGAACTCATCGATGGCGCAGATGCCGTTGTCTGCAAGCATCAGGGCACCAGCTTCAATGGTGAAGTCACCGGTTTCCTCGTCTCTCACGACGGCAGCTGTAAGACCAGCAGCCGAAGAGGCCTTGCCCGATGTGTAGACGGAGCGAGGAAGGAAGCCACAGACATACTTCAGGAACTGAGACTTGCTCGTAGAGGGATCGCCGACAATGCAGATGTTGAGATCTCCTCGAAGGTGAATCCCTTCTTGCGTCTGCTTGTGAACACCACCCATAAGCTGAAGGAGGATACCCTTCTTGACGATGTCGTGGCCATACACAGTCGGTGCAATGCTGTGGACCAGTCTCCCGTAGATGTCGTCGCTGACGACCATTGCCTCGAGCTCATCTCTCTCTTCGGCTGTCAAAGAGTCCAGAAGAGTATGAGGGTCGAGGTCTTCCTCTACAGTGTCACCACCTCGGACATCGGTGTTGTAGCGAGAGTCCATGGACCTAGCATGGCAAGCCAAGAAGGCAGTCTTGTAGGTAAGGTCTCGAGCACCGAGGGTTCTCAGTCCCGTCACTCCTGCGCCTTCCGCAGGACGACCACCGCCGCTCTCTCGCTGGATTTGAGCATTGACACCAGGCACGCCCAGCTGAGAGACATCGGGAACAACGATGAAAGCGCCAGTGAAGACGCACTTGTCTCCTGCCTTGGCCTTTTCCACGATCTCGCCTCGCAAGATGACATCGAGACTAGATGGGGGAAAGAAGAGTCCCAACGATCAGCGCCTCGAATCGCTCGTCGTCCACAGTGCCCCGATTGCTATGCTCCGTCTACTCACCTCCTAGGCATAGACCCAGTCGGGATCTCATTGGCATTCTCTTGAATCCTGACCTTCTGCCAATCGCTGAAGCGACTCTGCTCGACATTGAGTCTCCAGTCTCTCCTGTTCTGGCATCTCGGAGTCTGGCACATGGCCGGCTCAGTGTATTTGAATTGCTGTTCCACATCTCGAATGACAGTCTTGCATTCTCCACAAGTGAAGGCTCCGTAGAGCAGCTCGGGGCGTACCTCTGAGGTTCGAGTGACTGTGCCTGAGATGGACACCAGTCGGCCAACCTTGTCTGTGCGAAGGTCTCGGATACCAGAGACGAGATTGAGGTTGAAGAAGGAGAGGGAGAAGTCTCGGGGCACCAGACCTGACGAGGCAGTAGATGCTACGTGCGCATTCAGGTATAGATAGCCTGGGATGAGGGTGCTGACCAAGTCTACCAAAGCTCGGCGTAGATATGGCAAGAAGCTGAGAGGGAGAGGGTGTGAGCAGCAGTCTCAGTATCACTGTGAGCATCGTCCTCCCATCTGACGTTGAAGCGACTTACCGGTAGTATTGTTCGCTGATGGCTCGTGCAAGTACCTCCTCGTGACGCAGGACATGAGTGAAGTCGACATACAATGTCGTCTGCCCATAGTCTCGTAGTCCATAGATGTGCTCGATGTATTTTGGGTCACCCTGAGCAGAGCCATCTCCATCAGGGTCGGGCCCATCGACGAAGCTATCAGATCAGGCAAAGTAGGAGAATGAGTATGGTGTAAAGATTTTGTGCTCAACTATCGGCCCTCTCTTGACGACTTACCTTTGCAAGAACTCCCTGAATCCCTCTCTGACCCTCTCTCCAGTCTCATCAATTACAGGCTCAATCTCCTCCTGGTTGCGCAGATTCCTGGGTCTGCCCTTAGCGCGCGGTGTAGCATCCATGTCCATATCCGTAGCGTCACCCAGTCGACGACCCTCGCCCTCTTCCTCGGTGCGGCTATTCTCATACCCGCCTGCTGAGGATGTGGGTGCTGCTGGAGTAGGGGCGTTGAAGGCTAGTGGGTCAAATGCGCGCGAGCCATTGGCGGCGGCGGCGATGTGGTTGGTGGGGGAGGACTCCCGGTCCATGGTGGGCCGCTGAGTGTTGTTTGCCGGTGTACGAGGATGACGGACTGTTTAATGTGGTTCAAGAACGAGATTGGGCAACTCAAGAAGTGATGCAGGACGATGAAAGGTGGGTCTATGGTATGCTGAGGGAATGAGGAAGGAAGACGTCTCAACACCGCTTCCCCCCTTCGCCCGTCTAATTGACGAGACGAGACACGCCTCTCTACGCGTTCGCGTGTGCTTTCAGAGTCCGCTTGACCACCTCTTTGCAGAGACCGCGACCGCGCCCGCCCTGCTTCCGTTCCTACTTTGGGCAATCTGAACACACACACACACACAGGTACAGACCTGCATACACGCGCCTTGCATTGCAAAGCTCGGTACGGCGAAGGCTCCATTTGCAACTCGTCTGCGCCAGGGGAGTCGAGCATACTGAACACTAATATTCACTCTGCGTCGGGGATGTGCTTCATAAGAGGATCTTCATTGATTATACGCCACCTTGAAAGCACGCAAGGGTGGCAAAGCAGAACGTCGAGACGAGAAGAGACAGGCCGAGGGTGTGCCGTCTGCGACAGTGTTGTATACATTGACTGGGAGCAAAGAAACGAGTGGGTAAGGGACACGGAATGGTTTTGACACGACTGATCTAAAGGTCGGCATCGTCCTCGTCGGGAAGAGGGGCAGCAGCAGCCTGGGAAGGAGGAAGGAAGAGAGACACAGAGGATGCAGGAAGTCAGTATGGATCTTCTCGGCTTGAACCGACAACACCGTTGCAAGGCTGCTGCCCTTGTGCACAAGCGCATCGCTTCCACTGCTACTCACAGCCTCCAGCTCCTTGTTGTACTGCTCCATCAGGTTGGCGTCCACGCTGACCTCGGGAGGGGCCAGAGCGGGGGCAGCAACGAACTCCAGGGAAGGGTTGCCGACGAGCTTTCGTGCAAGCCACAGGAAGGGCTTCTCGAAGTTGTAGTTGGACTTGGCAGAGAGCTCGAAGTATTGCAGGTTCTTCTTGCGGTGGAAGGTGACGGCTCCGGTCTTGACTTTGCGTTCCTGCGAGGCATGAGGTGGGGGAGGATGGTCAGCGTTCTGTAAAGACTGTACTCACTACCGAGCTTCCACTGCTCGAACTGCGAAGAGGTATTCTGCCCGTCTCTCTGCCCGTATGCTCGTCTACTCACCCTAACGTCGACCTTGTTTCCACACAGCACAATGGGGATGCTCTCACAGACCCTCTCCAGATCCCTGTGCCAGTTGGGCACATTCTTGTAGGTGATACGGGCAGTGACATCAAACATGATGATACCACACTGTCCACCAATGTAGTAACCGTCTCGCAGACCACCGAACTTCTCCTGTCCAGCAGTGTCCCACACGCTGAAGACGATCTTGCCGAAGTTGGTGTGGAACTCGAGCGGGTGGACTTCCACACCGAGGGTGGCTGAGAAGTGGCGGAATAGAGTGACAGACAATGTCAGTAAAAATGATGAGAGCGGCATTCAGAACAGAACCGTATTCTGCCTGCATCGCCATCTCATGGTGCTCACCAATGTACTTCTTCTCGAACTCTCCGGTCATGTGGCGCTATGAGGAGCAAGGGGTAGGAAGAGGTATCAGCAGCTAAATCCTTGAGGCCTGACCTGGGAGCTAGCTCGGGTTCTACTCACCTTGACGAAGGTGGTCTTTCCTGTTCCTCCATCTCCGACTATATATGCGAGGCAAAATAGTGTGGGCGGTCAGTAGACTGTCCAAATTCAGCGTCAGAGTAGATCTTCTTGCGTCTTGGCGTTCCTTTCCGAATGGCAACCCCTCAGGCAGCGATTCCCGGTAGGTTGTTGGCTAGTACTGCCTTGTCCCACCAAGCCATACCACGATGCCTGATTGACAGTCATCCCAACGAGAGCGTGAAGCTTGTGGCGTAGCATAGACGCTCAAAAGCACCTCCAGCTGCCCTCCCACCTGTCTCTCCCTTTGCCCCTCTCTATCCTTGAGCTCTGCATATCCGCGTGATACCTACCGAGCACGAGCTTGAAAGTGGGGATCTCAGTGGCCATTGTTGCAAAGTGTGACGAGTGGCTTAGTGCGGTGTGGTAAGGGGGGAAAAGGTGACGATTGAGGGATGGTGATGCTTCGACTGAGAAGATCGGGTTGCGTTGAGGCTGGAGCTGGCTGGGCTGCTTCTGCCTGGAAAAGGCAGGCGGGCGAGGCAGAGTGTGGTGTTTCTTTCGTTCGCCTCGTCGGCGCGCGCTGCTGGCCTCTGCCTCTGGCGGGGCGGAGATTGAACCCGAGTCGTCCGTCCGTTGAGAATTTTGGGCGAGACAGAGAGGGGAAGCGGATACCAAAGGAAGGAAGGAAGCACCGGTGCATAGATCCAGCCATTGTATCCTCGATCCGCGGGCCTGCCTCAAGTCCTCTAGCATCTCACACGTCATGGCCAAAGCTTCTTCGTCCAGCTTGGAGCCACCTTCAAAGCGCAAGCGCTCTTCCGGCTCCCATGACTCCTCCCGCGAACGCAAGGAGAGGAGAGGCAGCACGAGCAGCAGAGGCAGCGAGAGCGAAGCAGACTCGATAGCCTCCTCTTCGTCCACTGCATCCTCGTCCAAGAAGAGGAAGAGCAAGTCGTCTTCATCGAAAGAAGGCAAGGCCGTAGACTCGAGAGCTCCGTACCTTTCCCAAGTCCCCCTCTCCTCAGCATTTGAACTGCAGTACCCCGTCCTCACTCTCTCCATCCCCCCCGTGCACGCTTCCCAACCCATGGTGGCCCTCGTGGAGCTCTTCGACTCCCTCGTGATGCGCTTCGTGCCGCCCCTGAACGGCATCCTCATCAGCCACGGTACAGCTTGTTTCATGATAGATGAAGCCGAGGCAGAGAAGAATGCACAGGGACCCCCGGTGGATGGTCAGTGGGCTGGAGTGGGACCAAGCGCCCTCGTTGGCGCTGATGCTGCATTCGCTACGTCGAGGGTGGCAGTGGAGTGCTGTGTATGGCGGCCAAAGGTCGGCATGAAGGTTGGTGAGTAGGCTCGAAAGTGGAAGATACATTGTAGGTGGGTGCTCTGTACTAATCGCTACTACCTCGCTCGGCCATTTGCCCACTCTGCAGAAGGAACAATCACCCTCTCCACCCCCTCGCACGTCTCCCTCCTAGTCTACGCAACCTTCAACGCCTCGATTTCCTCAGACCACATGACAGACTACGAGTTCATCGAGTCTTCCTCTCCTCGTCCAGGGGAAGCAGGCCAGACAGAAAGCGAGGCAGGGGCGGGGGAAGAGGAGGAATATGGCTACTGGCGTCACAAGGTCACACGAGAGCGTCTAGGCGCTTCCACTGGTGGCAGGGTGCAATTCGCAATCGTCTCCCTCACGATCTCCCCTCCTTCACTCTCCCTGTCTGGTTCTCTACTAGACAGACCCTTCGAGGTTGCCCCGCCCAGATCGGTTGGGCTCTCTGCCGGTGCAGGCGGGTGGACACCGAGTAATGCTGCCGCCAAGGGGATGCAGAAGGAGGATAGGGAGGCAATCAAGAAGGCCACAAGGCGCGTCAGGTGGGAAGAAGACGACGAGGAGAGTGACGATGATGATGCTACTGGGCTGTCGAGTGGGGCAGGACCAGAGGTTAAGCCGGGGAAGCACGTCAAGTTTTGAGGGGTGCAGTCGCGGGGCAGTAGCTGTTGTACAATGTCAATCGAAATCAATCTCAGGTACAGGGCAGCACTGGTGATTCTGACTTGCTCTCTATCGCCAGAACAAAACTACCGTGGCCAGTGTCAAGCCCTATACCTCATCAAAGCGGTCACTTGGTGCCGGTGCACCGTTTGGGTTCACATCACATCAATGGAGCGGAAGGAGACGAGCAATGCCTTTTGTTGAACAAGAAGGAGAGATGATGATCATACAATGGTGAGGGACAAGGGTAGGTGGGTAAGGAAGGGTGAGAGGGGGTAGTAGTGGCCTAGCCAGAGGTTGATGAGCGCTCGTAACCCATCGAATGCCCTCCGTGCAGCCTGCCGCTTCCCTTCCACCAGCGAGAAATATCACAGCGACGACATCATCCACCTAAGCGATACGTCAAGTGATGACCAAGCTGTTTCTATTCCACTAGAACTAGGGCGAGACCGCTTAGAACTTTCCGAACTGCTTGGCGGCCTTCTCGGCACGCTTGTTCTTTGTCACCTTGAGGACCTGGAATCGGATGGTCTTCGACAGAGGACGGCATTGGCCTGCAAGAGGGGAGGATAGGGAGGTACGTTGCGTCAGTATTGACTTCTCCAACGATTCGTAATGATGTGACTGTTTTGATGTTTGTCGCCAATGAAGACTCTTGCTACCCCACGGTACCCCCGGCTAGCACCTTCTGTCTTGTGTCAAAGATCATGACTTCTACCCCCGAGTTGAGAATGCCATTCTCGTCGGCTTTCCCAGAAAGCACGACACTCTCGGTCTGTACCGATGCTTTTCTCCGAGTCCCTCCTGTATGTGGGTCACCGATCCCATCGGCCCGTCTTAGACCCATCCGATTTGTCTTGCTCTCATCCTCCATTGCTGCACTCTGGCTCAGATACTCACCAACAGTGACCTCGTCACCGACCTCTACACGGAAAGCAGGGGAGCAGTGGGCAACCAGGTTCTTGTGCCTCTTCTCGTAACGGTTGTACTTTGGCACGTAGTGCAGGTACTCTCGTCGCAGCACCACGGTACGGGTCATCTTGGTGGAGATGACACGGCCGGCCAAGATACGTCCACGGATGGCAACATTGCCGGTCCAGGGGCACTTCTTGTCTGTGAAGCGCCGAGGAGAAGAGGTGGGAGGGTAAATGATGTAAAGGTGAGCAGACGTTCTCACCTCCAAAGGCCTACTGCAGGTGCCCCCCCTCAAATTCATCTCTCTGTCCCGACAACTTTCGTGACCAACTTGTCCTTCCCTCCCCGCTATACCGCTGATCGTTCCTTCTGTTCTCCCTCTTGACCTGTACTCACCAATGTACTCTCCGTTGATGGCAGCGGTGGGGGTCTTGAAACCCAGACCGATGTCCTTGTACCACCTCCTCTCACGGGTGACCTTTCGGAGTGCCTTTGGGTTGAGGAAGATCTGCTGCTTCTGGAAAGCCTTCTCGGGCTGGGTGTTGAGGACGGTGGACATGATGGGCGAAGTTGTGGTGAAGGGAAGATGAGGATGTAGACTTGACTTGGGTGGAAGGTGGAAGGTGAGGCCCGCCGCGAGGATTCCTCAAATCGTCGGCCTGGGATTTCTGGGCTGGGCGGACGCAGGCAGGCGGGCGGGCGGGCGAGGCAGGGCGGGCAGGCGCCAGGCCAACTCGCAGCCTCACGCGGGCAGAGGCAGCTGCAGCCACGCCGCACGGAAAACCGCAGTGCGCGGTCCTCTTCCCTCGCGGGCGGGCGAGCGGGGCAGCCACACGCAGACACCCACCCACCCACGCACACACACGCGGGCAGAGCAGGGCGAGGAAGCAGGGCCAAGCAGCAGCAGCCCTGGCTCAAATTCACGAACTTCGAGACTTCCTTCCGACTGTGCTTCCCACACATACCATCACTACCCATTCTACACTTGCTGAGGCGCTAACGTCCCATTCATACACTAAGCGTCCGACGAAGCTCATCACCCATCACACATATCAAAAATGTCAGACACTGAAGACATCCCCCAGCAGGAGGTCGGTGAGGAGGAGGTCCCCGCCGAGGCAGAGGCACCCGCAGCCCCCGCCAAGGGAGCCATGACCATCGAGGAGGCTCTCCAGGAGGTCCTCAAGAAGTCCCTCATCCACGACGGTCTCGCCCGAGGTCTCCGTGAGTGCTCCAAGGCCCTCGACCGACGACAGGCCCACCTCTGTGTCCTCGTAGAGACCTGCTCCGAGCAGGAGTACATCAAGCTCATCGAGGCCCTCTGCAACGAGCACAAGATTGACCTCCTCAAGGTATCTGACCCCAAGACCCTGGGCACCTGGGCCGGTCTCTGCAAGATCGACCGAGAGGGTAACCCAAGGAAGGTCGTTGGATGCTCTTGCGTCGTCGTCCGCGACTACGGAGAGGAGTCCGAGGGTCTCAACGTCCTCCTCGAGTACTTCAAGTCCCGCTAAGCGGCTAGACGATCTCTCGGGCACGCTGTAGAGTTGCGACGCGGGTCCCATTTACTTGGCCCACCTGCTAGCATGATCAAGACGAGGAGAGCGAAGCAGAGGTTGCTACGATGTTGCCCTTGTGCGCAAAGTGGTGAGTAGTTTGTCCCTGTTATACTCAATCGAGAGGCAGGCAAGCTCGGCAGGAGCTCGGTTCGGCTTTCTGCGTCGCCAATGTGATGAGACACGGACTCCCTCTTCGGAGATGGATTGGGGCTCGCCTCATCCTCTTGGACAGACAACCTCCAAACCGGAATCATTATTACAACGTCTGATACCAGACGCAGGAGGTTGGAAGCGGTGGCGTCGTCAAGACACATAGCGGTGCAGAAAGTGCGAAAACTGACTCAATCTTTCTGCTCATCCTTCTCGCTGCCATACAGGTTTCTCTCTTCCTCGTCGCTCCTGCTTTGATTGTTCATCTGCTGCCTGACTGCAATCTATTCCACCTCGCTGCGCATGTCACAGTGCTAAACTCTGTCTGATTGCATGGCCCAGTGACGATGATATGTTGCGCTGCAGCAGAACGTACTATGTGACTCTTGTACGCTATCTCAAAAGTCCGTCGCCCTCCCACCATATGTCCATTCCCTCTCCCACTGTAGCGGCTCCTTCTTTGGTCCCCCCACCTCTCCAGTATGCGGATTCTCCTCTCCTTCAAAGTCTGGTGTTGGAGGTTTGCGGGCATTAGGGTGAATATCAGAGGCTGAGATGCTAGGTGCCGAAGGTGCTTTGCCCTGTGATGCCGAGGACGTGGAGCCGGCAGGACGATTGAATTGAAGCTCGTCTAGCGGTAGAAGTGGGGGTGAGTGGAGGCAAGTCGAGTGGTGAGCTGATACACCGTACCCTAGGAGCAACCCGCTCGCTGCAACTCTTCGTACGCCACTGCTGCTACTCACTTCCTCTCTCCTTAACGAGTCTGTTCCATTCCTTTTGATCCTCCTTGGGCAAAGGTGGTGGCCCTGGACGGTCAAAGGGCGAATCGGACCGTGAGGAGGAGAGACGCTGGGAAGTGGCGAGGGTCCTGAGAGGGCGAGGAGTTGAAAGGCGTAAGCGGGCAAGTTCACATGCGTAGCTACACAGGAGAACTCACCTCGTCGAAGGTCCTGCTGTGAGGAAGTAGCGAGCAGGCAATGTCCTTGGTAGACGCAGCATCGTGATCATTGGCGTCCAGAGGGTTGGTGAATTAGGTGGGATGAGGAGTAGAACCGGAGGAGTCCGCCTCTGAGAAGCCGGATAGAGATCATAATCTGTGGCTGCCTTGCTGACTAAGCAACAGATTCCTCCCTTTCCGCTTCCTTGGACCGCCGCCTCTTCCGCTTCGCCGGCGGGTGGGTCTGTACCTGTACCTGTATCGGTACCATTGTACTGATCAGCCCGGCATGACATGACCTCGACTTTGACTATGGGACCTGTGGACCCTCCAGCGCGTTTGGCGCTCAAGGCTGGGAGAATCTTGGCTGGTGAAGCGGATGTAGAGATCAAGCAACGAGAGCGTGCAAGGAGAGGAGACACTGGTGAGCATGCTAGACGCTGAGCAGCCGCAACACTACCATGCTGAGGTCTCCTTTCCATGTCATTCTCATCGCCTATTGTGCCAGACAAAGTAACGTCCTCTCCAGCCTCATCCTCACGCCGTCCGCCGCTTGCTCGCATCCTCGCAACAAGGCTAAGGGAAGCCAGCGCAGTACTGAGCGATACCGGAATGCCATTGCCTACAGAGGACCGTCCCATCGACTCTGCCTCGGAGGAGACGCTGCACCTGCTCACAGCCGAGACGGCTCTCATATGCCTGCAGATCCTACACGAGGAGGATAGCAGAACGTCTAGGGCCCGAAGCTCGTCACAACAGGAGGAAGAGCTGGTAGGGTCAAAAGATCGGAAGACGATTCAGACCTTGTTCTCATTGGTGTCTTCCTGGGGTCTGGAACCAGCGATACTCAGCTACGATGCTGCTATAGAGTCTATCAGGCAGACATCGTCCGTTGTCGATTCTGCGCCTCGTCTACGCGAAGTTACGGAGGAACAGCAGGAGCAAGCAGGCCTACGCAGGTCATTTGAGATCGTACGGCAGGAGCTCGGTCATCTCTTCACCAGCGCTTCTCGCCTCCTCAGATCTCAGGCCAGCCCTGCCACTTTCGTATCCACTGGTCTCATACCGATGCAGATCCTGACGACACAGCAGACCATAGCTACACATCTGCTCGGAGCCGCTTTGCGCATCTGCTGGGGTCCGGGAGCGGATAAGGTAGACGGCAAGGCTTCTATGGGTGGTGTCAAGGAGGAGGCAAGAGACTGCATAACTCTCTTTCTCAAGAGTCTCCAGCCCGCTCAGCTACTGCCCTTGCTATCCTCGGTCTCTTCACCTCGTCAGGCGAGTCCACCAGGTAGCCCTTCCCTGCCTCCAATACCGGCCTTTGTGCGCGGCTTTGCTACTCGACTCCTCTCTGCGCAGCTTTTGCGTCGTGAAGGCATCGTCGCGCTGATTTCGTCGGTGATGAAGATGGGAGAAGAGTCGAGTGAGGAGAAGGTCTCGCCAACCATCAAGCTTGATCGATTGGCTACACTGCTGACGAGCCCTCCAAGCGGAATGGAAAAGGGGGCCTTTCTATCTCAGCATACTATACCTGCGCTGGTCTCCTTCGTCATACCGAACACTGCAGACGCCGATACATCTGCAGTCTTCGCAAAAGTGGCGAGCTACACACTTGAGAAGCTAGCCGCGGGTGAATCCGAAGAGCTTGTGAGAGCAGCTCTCGAGCCGGTCATCTGGCAGCCACTGTTGCCTGGAGTCACAGGCTGCACCCCTCTGCAGTCAGAGCTCCCCTCCTCAGCTCGGATAGCAGACGCGGTACACAGTCTCGAAGTGCTCGTACTGTGCTCTACGTCTATCTCGTCTGCATGGCTCAGCTGGCTCATCAGCCCCGTTGTACTGCGACTCTGGGACATGCTGGGCACCCACGAGAGTGGCAGAGAGGCTAAAGTGAAGGAAGTGAAGAAGGGAAAGGTCGCAGCGCAGTCAGAACAGCTGGGGAGCATACTACAAAAGTGGCTGGCCGTCAGCGGTGTCGAGGAGGTGATGGGAGTGATCAGACAGTGGGCCAGTGCGCAAGAGCAGGATGCTACCAGGATATACTTTGAGGTAGACGAGAGGAACACAGCAGTGATCAAATTTGGGAGGTGAGTGCAGTTCCAGTACTCGATATCCGCGTCTGATACTGACTGCAGACTCTATCCGGACACAGGCCGCCATCTCATGGCACAACCGACCTCAGCGCCCTGCTTTCCAACATCTCAATGTCTCCTCATGCAGAAAGCGATGACGACCAAGCCCGTGCCCTCTTACCCCATCTGCAGGGAATGGCATCTTCACGGTCAGGGCCCTCGGCCTCGCTCTTCACCAACCTCCTCTCTCGAGCCGGGCGCAGCGATCTGGCGTCTTCTCTCTTGCCACAGCTGCTGGAAAGCTATCTAGCTGAGAAGTCGCGCTCCACCACACAGGCTTGGTACATCCTTCAGCTAATTGTGGAGCTGCTTGACACTTTTGGGGAGGCAATGACAAAGCATAAGCAAGAGACGAATAACGTCCTTCGCTTTGTCAATGTGTGTCTGGGTGGCGACAAAGGATCCAAGACGACAGAGCAAGGTGTACAAGAGGTGCAGCAAGAGGAAGAAGTTCCTTTCATCGGGCCTGGCGGTCGCTCTCGCGGGCCCATGGCCGATTTGCTAGACGCTGGCATCGACGCGAGCACAGCTGGTGCAGGGCCCACTGGAGGCGAACAAAAAGGGCAAGAAGAAGAAGAGCTCGATGAAGACCTGATCAAGACGGCGCTTGACCTACTGCTGAGCGTCCTTGAGGGTAACCTTGAGCTTGCGCCGAGGACGAGCCCTCTGCTGAGACTTATTGAGTCGAAGCTGTCGCGCTATGTGTCATCAAACGTGGATGAGGATCTACGCAGGGTGGCCAAGGAAGCTCGCCTAGTCTTAGCGGCTCGGGAGCAAGCCACTCGACCTGAAGAAGCAGATGCAGACCTGCCCCACGTCGGGACGCCGGCGAGCAGTGCACGCCAAGCGGCCCAGTCAAAATACGAAGAAGCACTGAAGCTCTTGCAAGACCCTATCCTGCCAGTACGGGCGCATGGTCTAGTGCTTCTCAAGGAGATTGCAGCAGCAACCGAGCATCCGGGCGCGACTGCCCACCTGTTGCCTTCTATTCTGGAGATTCTGCTCAAGGCAATAGGCGACGAAGAGTCGTACCTGTATCTCAATGCCATCTCAGCACTGAAGGAGGTGATCCTTCGAGGGGAGCCATATCTCTCGCAGATCCTCGCAAAGTACGTGACCGGCGACGCCTCTCGTCAAGGGACCGACGAGCGTCTGCGAATTGGCGAAGCGCTCCTCGCAGCCATCCAACATCTAGCCGAAGGAGGTGCAGTCTACTCTTCCTCTTTCCTGCCTGCTCTGCTGACAGTCCTACGGGACAGAAAAGCCTCAACGACGCTAAAGTCTTCGGCATTGACCCTTCTCGGCACCTGCGTCGAGGCCTTTCCTCTGGCCATTGCGAGCGCTACTCGCGAAGGGTACGTGGGCAAGATGGTACGTGGATGTCTGGACTTGTTACAGCTGGAGATGGTCCATAGAAGGAGCAGCAGCGGTGCGAGGCCGACTTCTGGCAGCTTCGGTGAGCATGCAGAAGAGGAAGAAGAAGAAGACCCTACCGTTGCCCGTCAGCAGCTGCGCTTCGCCCCAGGCGCAGACGACTCGACCAGTCTGGACTCTTCCTACCCACAGCTGCGTCGCGGAGCTCTTCTCCTGCTGCACCTCCTTATCAAGGGCACGCGTGACCAGCTCGCCCTCTTCGTTGAGACGCGAGCGAGAGAGCAGCCTCAGGTAGGAGCAGAGGGGGGGTGGATCGCTCTGAGGCTGCCGGGAGGGGGAAGATTGCCTTCTCTCTCCTCCAGCTTCGACCCCAAATCTGCTCCGACAACTCTCCCACCTTTGCTCTTCCCCCTCGCCGAGCGCAGCAGCGGTAGTGGAGGCGACGTCCAATTGCAAGACTCAACGCGCACCACGATGCAGTACCTCGCTCTGGAGGACGATGATGCCCTTGTGAGACGGATGGCGCGCGAGGTGGATGAGGAGTTGCAGGCGTTGCTTGTTGAGATGGTTGGGGTGGGATTGGGTGGGTGAGATGAGCGGAGCGAAGATGGATGAGCGAGTAGAGCGTAAGATGAGGCGATGGAGGGAAGAGGCAATGCGGCTTATCGACACAGCGAGATATGTCGGAAAAACCGTAGCCATACTTCCTTCTTTCACAGCGGTGCAATCATTGACAAAATGGAATAGATGTAGATGCAGCAGATGATGGTGTGACTATTTACAAGCTTTTGTGGAATGAGCGTGATTATGTGCGTATGCGTGTGCGCGTATGTGCATGTGAGTGTCGACGTGTGGATCGGGAGTGCATTGGTGTGTAGAGTCGTGAGACGAGATGAGAGGGGAGGACGAAGGGCAAGTGTTAGAGGTATGGCGTGCTCGCCAGTGAAGCAACAGCCGATGGAAAGCGTGCATAGCAATCCTCAATGTTCCTTTCCCAGCCCCGCTTCATAAGAAGTCGGACGCTCCCTCATCTCCTCGTCGCGAGCCGTGGCTCGAAAATCGGGAGTTGAGGCAAAAGTAGGCCTCACGTAGTGATTCCATCCTGCCCCGCGCCGTGAGTCTCCAAGTTTCCATTGGCCAAAATCAAACCTTTACTCCCATCCTCATTGTTGTGAACTCCCTCTACAAGCAGCAACGCGCCAAGATTCTCCGTACTGCTCCCAGCTGTATCCGTTGTGGTACTCCCGCTCCCGCTGCCGCTGGCAGAGGCACTGCCGCTAGTCGTCCCCGCTGTACCTGTACTGGCACTGGAGGTGACGCGGGAGGAAGAAGAGTTCGCCGGGTCGACGTCGTCCTCACGGCCGGGCTGGGGCTGGGGCTGTTGGTCGGAACCGCCTGCTGCTGCTGTTCCGGCGGTGCGAGCGGGCGAGATGTTGCGGGTGCCTTGAGAGGGTCCCTTGGTCGATAAAGAGGAGGTGTTGGCAGGATTCCAAGCAAAGTTGATCGCCAGAGGCGGGGAGATGGGCGATGCGGCGCCTGTTGAGGTCTGAGGCTGAGTCGCAAGCGAAACAGGAGCTGCTGCAAATTCGCCATTCTGAGGGATCGGAGCGCTCTCTGACACTGAAAGACGCTGCGACGAGTCCGCGATACCCTTCGGCGATTCGCTGAGGAGTCCCTCTGGAGCGGGACCAGGGGAACCAGCAGAGGCAATCTCTTCTCGCTCACTAGTTCCTCCCCTCGCGTAAGTCTCAGCAGACGAGTGGTGCGAGCCGCTGGCCGAGAGGATTCGTGCGAGTGGTCTGACCGGGGAAGGCATCGCAACGGTGGGCTGCTGCTGTTGTCTGCTCTCTGTGTCTGCTCGCGGGGTTGCCTCTCTTGAGAGCGAGGGGTACTGAGGAAGTGCAGACGAAGGAGAGTCTTGCGAGGCTGGAATGTGCGGTAGTGTGGGCGGAGCAGCAAGGATCTGTCGTCCAGTGGAGCTGTTGGTCCGACTCTTTGATGGCGGAGGCGTGTGGCTAGGGTGGAGGGTATCGGGCGTTCCTTGACCTGCGCTCGTGCTGGACGTGAGGTGGGCTGGGGACCTAGATCGAGACTCGCTTTGACGCGGTGACGAGGTGATACGCGCAGCCGGGTCGAGGGTAGGTCTCTTGCTGCTTCCAAATTCTGCCGGCGAAGCCTGACGAGCAGGTCCTTCCTGCAGGTACCTCATCCTCTCATCATGCCCTATACTCGAGCGACTGGTAGAGTTGTGCACCCGTGCTGGCCTCTGTGGTCTTTCTGAGCCCTCTGCAGGATCCGAGGAAGGCCAGAGCACATCTTGCCCAAAGAGCTCCGAGGTGCCATCCCCGATACCACTGGCCGGGCTGAATGCCAGTGTGCGCTGGTCTACCGCCGTTGCGAGCCCTCCAAGCCCAATACCCAATGGCTGAGGCGGGACAATCTGTATCTTGTCTCTATTGAGGGGCGAATGCGGCAGATAGGAGCTTCTTTTAGCTGGCTGGCCTTGCAAATGACCCATACCTAGACCGTAGATGGGTGTGGAGGAGGAGTGAGTGAGATGCGAAGAGTGGACCGAAGAGGCATAGGACCGCTTGAGTGCCATTGTAGAAGAGCTCGAGGAGATGACGCTCAGCCTGGTACCTGGCCTGTCTGATAGCAATGGCTCCAAACCATCTGCAGTGGGTGAAGAAGAGCCTGCAGCTGGAGGTAAGGGCTGAAGGAAGCTATTGGAGCCAGATGCTGTGCCTCCCCATGTATGACCAGGCGAAGGTGAGCCAGAAGCGCTGGAGCTGCCGACTGCAGGTGTGAGTAGTCCTGGTGAAGGTGTTCGCTTAAAGTCGAAGGGGAAAGGGCTTGCAGTTTCACTGTCCCAGATGGGGGAAGTGGGCATGCTATAACTTCTAGGGATGTGCCTTCCATAGATTTGACCTCCTTCCCGGAATTGGCTCGAAATGTTGGGGGCATCCCAGGGATTGGGTACATTGGCTGGTCTGATGGGTGGTAGCTCCGATTCTGGGTGCTTGGGTCCCCTGCCCCGCCTACGCCGCCATCGACGATGGAGGCGATAGGTAAAGTAGAGGACGGCCGCCCCACCGAAGATGCCGCCCAAGACAATGCCCGCCGTTGCTGGCTGAGGCATGGCGGGTGACTCTGGGGACAGAAGGGCGTAGGAGCAGGGAGCAGGGGAGGGGCAAAGTAAAAGGGAGAAGAAGAGCAGGGAGAGAAGCTCCGAAGGTGGTGGAGTTCCTCGTTCCTCTGCTACTCCTGCTTTGCTACCACGTTGCTAGGGGCGCGGCGGGTATATACGAGGGGTGACGCTGAGGTAGATGCCGACGAGGGATGGCGAGGCAGACGCGGTGTAGCTGGAAGGCGACGATGTTGTAGATGGTGGCAATGATGATGATGATGTTGTCCAAGAGTGGACTATACAGGGGCCAATGTTGCCTGCAAAGGTAGTAATAGTGGTGGGTATTCCGCCGTGGCTGCTTGTCCCTTGGCCGAAGCGGGAGTGAGGGAAATGCAAGGAAGCCAGTACCGGATCGGAATGGCGCCGGGAGCGGTGGGTAAGCTGAGCAAGAGATGTACGAGTTGGTGGAGGAGGAAAGATGCGGCAAGATGCACCACACAGGATCAGCGGCGACGACGAGGCAGCATCGCAAGCAAGGGAGAGTGGAAGCGTAGAATGATGCAGGCCAATGGTGAGGTCAGGAAGAGGCAGAGTAATGTGTCGACGTCTGCTTGTGTGTGTGTGTGCCTGCCTGCCTGCCAGTCCACTCTACCACTCTTCTGGGTAAAGGCCCTCCAGAGCCGCAAGCAACCAAGGCCTTGTCAGCTTCCCTTCCTCGAGTCCACTCCGCCAGGGTCTCGTCTCTCCTCTGCAACCCAGCCCAGCCAGCCAGCCACGCCAGTGTGCCGTCCCCTCCGCTCTGGCCACCACGGCAGCGGGAAATTTCGCTTCGAATCGACGCGACTCATCTCGGCAACAGGCTCCCGACATCGGCACTCACGGCAGGCAAAAGTGCTCTGCTGCCGCCGCTGCTGTTTAGGCCTACGTGGGGGGGAAATGAAGTCGCGCTGGGATCACCGGCAGGGCATTCGACTTTTAAATATACTCCACTCTGCTTGACTGAGAAAGGCCCGCGAGAAGTCGAACAGAAAGCCCAGTTTCCAAGGAAGTGAGGCAGCGCGGGCCAACAATTCCACACACCCGCTCTCTCAGGGGTCCGGCAACAGTCGCACAGTAATCTTAGCAGGAATGAAATGGAATTACACATACACAAAATGCGCGGACGGACCTCCCGATCAACCAATATGAGAAGCGAGCCAAGGGAGCCAGAGGAAAGGCGGGTGGAGAGATTGACCCCTGGACAAGGTATACGTGGAGACAGGCGAGACAGGGATGGGATCAATAGGGGCGGTCTGATATTGGGAGGGAGGTGACGGCGGGGCCGTGATGAGTGTGGGACACTGAGCTCACCGTGTGGGGCAAAGAGCTGGGGTTGAGAGAAAGAGTGTCCTGATGGCACACTCCTCACCTCTCCTCAATACCTCTCGTCTACAATCGACGATCGACTTTGCCTCGGCGTGGCCAGCAAGCTCGACCTCGATGGCTTCTGCAGCTGCCCCTTTCTATGCAGTTGCAAATCCTGCGGCATGGCGACGATGATGTTGTTCGAGTTGCCAAAGGCAAAGTTGTCCTCTACCACCACGTCGCCCATCTTACGTAGGGTGTACCCGTCTGTACGACCCTTCTTGACGCGCTCTAGAGGCCAAGAGACAATGTAGGATCCAGTACCTGTCACAATGGACGTCTCGCCGTGTCCGCTCGCGGGAGTGTCGAAGCGGGCGGGGGTAAAGGAAATCTCCTGGTCCATATAGGCCACGTGGTGTGGCTTCAGCTGCAGTCTTCGGGGGATGGGCTTGCTCTCCTTGGGGAAGGAGCGATCGAAGCCTAGCTCGCCCTTGTAGCGTCCATCTCCGATCAGGGTATCGATCAACAACAGATAGGTCTTGCAGGTGGCCACCACGTAGCGTCCATCGGCAGTCACGTCCACGCCCACGATGGGATCTCCCAAGGCAGGCAAAGCCGTCTTTGCATTCTTGCCAATCTGATCGAACAGACGCAATTCACCCTTGGCACTGGCTACGGCCAGTCTACCCTTCTCGTCCGTGGCAGCCGAGGAGAACTTGTTCTTGGTGACGTACTGCTTGAATTGCGAATCGACCATCTTGTTGCCACCCAGCCTGGGGTCGATTCGGAAGATGCCATTGTCGGAATGACCAATCAGCATCTGTTCTGCAGTCGTCTGGGCAAATTTGGAGTTCGGGACGACGTTGTTGACCGGTACATCATCATGGATCTTCCATTCGTCGACGATCTTGCCGTATTCGAGGTCCATCTTGAATAGCGAGTGTTGGTTGGACGGGTCCATCATGACCATTGCCGAGTCTTGGTCATGCAGCATCACCTTGCGAGGATTGAACGACTTGCCCTTGCCCGTCTTGATGTTGCTGATGGTAGTGGCGAACTCCAATTGGTCGTCTTCAGTATGCTTGAACACTCCGATCTTGTTGCCTCGGACGACGAACGAGCGATCAAATTTGTATCCTACCGCCAGCTGAGAGTTCTGATCGCGGTCGTTGCTCTCGACAGGCATGCCAGCAGGCGCATCGCCAACGTTCTTGGCATCGTCTTCGGCCTCATCTTCATCCTCTTCTAGCAGGTCCTCCAGGCTTTGGTCCACTTGACGAGCCTCGTCGTCGTCTCTCCTGTACCTGTCCACTTCCCTCTCTGCCTCCGTCTCCGAGTCGGTCCCTTCTTCCTCGGGAGCGGCCATCTCGACGTCATCCTCGTACGCGTCCGTCATGTACTTTTGATCGTCGGTCTTCGCCTTTTCCCACTTCTCCTCGTTGAGAGTCTCCCACATCAACTTGGCAAAGCCGCGCTGGTAGGCTTCGTAGTCCTCCTTTGTCCTGAACCGCAAGAGCCACGAATAGCACCTCCTCTCCTGGTCAAAGTAGTTCCACACAGCAGACAGTGAGTCCGAAGCAAAGTTAATGTTCATGGAGCCCTCGAGTCGCTGGGATAGCCACCGCCGAGTAGAAGAGGAGATGGAAAGCCAGTAGATAAAGCGTCCTGCTTCCGCGACTTCGACTTTGACTCCCTTCTCCTGGCTCATGAACAGACCATTGGTCTGATCGTAGAGGTACAGGTCTGCTTCTGTCTCGAGGAGGATGTCGGGCTCCCCCTGCACAGGGAATGATTCCTCGGGCGCAGCTGGCACAGTAGGCTTGGACGGGGTCACAGCTTTCGCCTTTGGTTTCTTGGCGCTGCTCTTGGGCGTGGTAGTTGCTTTGATCGGCGACTTGTCCTTGACGGTCAATTCCTCAATCTCTCTGGCCAGATCCTCTTGGTCTGTACTCGGAGCAGCTGGGTAGATGCTGAAGAGTGGAAAAAGCAGGGGCAGGAGGAAGAAGGGTCAGCTCTGTCGTCGCAATCACAAGCTCCGACGCTCGTATCCTCCTCTCACCATTTGCTTACCTCTGTACTGGCGCTACAGCTGCCGCCGGACCCTTCCACTTGAGCTTGTCCAGATCCTCGTCCGAAGCCTGATCGTGGCTCGCCCCGAACTTTCGCTCATACACGCACTGCAAGAAGGTGACCTCGAATATGCTCCTGGTGACTGAGTTGACTTGGGCATCGTCCATGGCGAACTCCAAGAGATCATCAGAGTCGCCTACGCCGGACACGTCTTTCCAGGTAAAAGTCGGATCGCCTTCTGAAGACGTCGCTGCCCTGAACTCCAGCGACCGGTCGATCAAGAACGACCTCTCATCATCGCTTTCCTCGTCTTCGTCCAGGAGCTGTTGCTCCCCTTCGTCGTACGCTCTAGTGACCACAAGCTGGTAGTTGTGCTCAGTCGAGGTACGGCGGATGGTAGCGACTGCATCTTTGTAGATGCATTCTCGAGAGCCCTTTACGCTGGAGGGGCGCACCAGATACAGAGCTCCGGCGGGAATCTGGATCAGCTCGACGTTGTCTTGATCACCCCAGATTTTGCCGAAGATGCTCCGGAGCATAAACATAGTGGCCGAGTGGGATGGGGTGGCAAGGCGGAGCTACTCGAAGTCAAGTGGTTGCCTGGAGTAGCTATCTCTGGCAGCTTGGCGGAGCGCGCTTCTTGAGCAGAGGCGGCTTGTCGGACTGTGTCGAGTGACCTGCTTGGGCGGAGCAGGACGTAGCTGGCCAGTTTCCAAAGGTGGACTACGGCGAGGTTGCGATGGTGGCGATGGTTGATGGGGAGGGTAGGATGGATGGGTGAGACGGGATGGGATGGGATGGGATGGGCGGATGATGGATGCAAGTGCACACATCCACTCTTTGCCCAAAATCCAGCCAAGCGAGCACAGGCGCACCCACCACACAGGCCACTCAAAGGTCCACGTCGCGTGGCTCAACCCACGGACTGGCAGAGGCGCACAGAGAGCAGCGCGCGCACAAAAATCCCACCAGCCACTGCCGCCTGCCTGCCTGCCGTGGCTCAGAGGGAAGGATTCAAGGCCAAGAAGAAAGGAACCAAGGACGACTGCTGCTGCCTCTTTCTTCTCGACGACCAACCACTCACTACCCTCCATATCGACATCATCATGGCATCCTTCACTCTGCCAACCCTACCCGACACACCCGGCGTCTGGGGTCCCCCCTCCCTCACCCCCGGCTCTTCCTCTGCAGCCTCTTCCTCCTCTGTACTCCCTCCCGAGTTCGCAGACATTCCCTTCGCCCCTTTTTCCAAGTCGGACAAGATCGGCCGCATCGCAGACTGGAACGCTGCAAGCTCCGGCACTGGAAGAGATGGTGATGCTGGCATGGGAGGTGGCCAGAGAGGCGGAAGACAGGGACGACGAGATGGACCTCAGGCGTACGGCTCTGGTGCCTCCAATGCCTTTGCCTACTTCCACGGAGATGACGAGGCCACCTTCTCCGTCGTCGACAACACAAAGACTCCCAGTCGAGGACGTGGAGGTCTCACAGCAATGGGTCGAGGCGGCCGAGGTGGTGCTAGGGGAGGAGCCGCTGGCGGACGAGGCGGTCTGGCTAATGGAAGGGCCGGCGCTCAGCGAGGAGGCCGAGGTGGCATGCGGGGCGGCGCAGCACCTCGTGGTGGAGGTGGTGCCAGGCGCGGAGGATACAGGGACTGGGACAAGCCACAGAGGACCCGTGATCCATCCGTCACTGTCGGTCCCGACTGGGAACAGCTCGAGGAGATTGAGTTCACCCGACTGGCCAAGCTGCGTCTTGAGGTGGCAGAGGGCACAGATCTGGCATCCTACGGTACCCTTCACGAGTACGACCGAGCTTACGACCGCATCGCATCTGTGCGCTTCGAGAAGCCACTGCAGCCTCTTGACCGCCTGCGCTACAACCCTACTACCTCGGACGACCCAATTTTGGCCGACATTGCTGCCAAGCCTTCTGTCGCTTCTGGCGAGGCTGGAGAGGAGGCAGGTCCTGCTCCCACTCGTATCTTTGTCACAGACTCCATTCTGGCTCTCCTGATGTGCGCCACTCGTGTCGTATACCCTTGGGACGTACTGATCACCAAGAGCGAAAATGGCGACATCTTCTTCGACAAGCGCGACGGAGGAGCATTCGATTACGTCACCGTCAATGAGAATGCTGCCGACCCACCCATGGAGGCTGAGTCAAAGGATGACAAGAATGCTGCTGCTAACATCAACACTCCTGGCAACCTCTCTTTGGAGGCGACGTACATCAACCAGAACTTTGCGTTCCAGGTGGTCAACACAAAGAAGACACACGACCTGGCCGATGGTGCCAACCCCTTCCACGACCCCTCTTCCGCTGGCGATGCTGATCAATTGGCCTCAGCCGGATACCGCTACAAGAAGTTCGACCTTTCCTCGTCCGCTCAGGATCCCATTGAGCTCTACGTTCGAACCGAGTTGGATGCCTATGTGCCCTCGACGACCAAGAATGCTCCCCCTCAATTCATCACCATTCGCACCCTCAACGAGTGGGATTCGAGGGCTCAGGGAGCAGGTGGAGCTCCCGACTGGCGTACCAAGCTGGACAGTCAGCGAGGTGCGGTCGTTGCTACTGAGATGAAGAACAATGCGGGCAAGCTGGCGCGATGGGCTGTGCAGTCTGTCCTTGCGGGTGCAGACAACATGAAGCTGGGATACATTTCCAGGGCCACGCCAAAGGACACGTCCAAGCACTCCATCCTGGCTACGCAGTGGTACAAGCCCTCGGACTTTGCCGCCCAGATCAATGTCAACCTCTCCAATGGTTGGGGTATTGTGAGGACCATTGCTGACCTGGCTAGGAAGAGTGCAGGCGAGGGCGAGGGAAGTGATGGAAGGGCCAAGTTTGTACTGGCAAAGGACCCGAACAAGGGAACGATCAGGCTCTACAGGGTTCCCCTGAACTGGCCTGCCGAGGACGATGAGGAGGAAGACGAGGAGCTGCTGGACGAAGAGGGTGGAGCCGAGGACGACGAGTAGACCATAGAGTAGGCGAGCTGTCGCGTGTTTCTCCCTTCACGTGCTGCGAATGTCATCCCTCCTTCCTCTCCGATACTGATTGATTGCCGAGCAAATGACCAGAATACAAGGGTGATCCCCGATCAATGGGTGCGAAGTCTTCTGTGTGCCCGTCATTCCCCGCATTCGCCCTCTTCCCTGAGCGTCTTTCCCCGGCTGATCGTTGCTTGTGACCCCGCACTGAGCCCGCTAATCGGCCGCTATTCGGACATCTGGATCCCGTAGAAGACCCGAAAGGAATGGATCGGAGCTTCCGATTTGACCGGACAAGAGAAGGGATTTGCGGGGTGGGAGAGCGCAACAGGAAGCCTTGGCCGTGGCTGCGTGTGGTGCAGGCAGGCAGGGCAGATCTTTCCGCGGTGGGGGTGGTGGCCTGGGTCGCCGCGTGTGGGACCGAGCGGGGCCTAAGCGGGGGACAAGAAGTCGCGTGGGGGAGTGGAAAGTGACGTCTAGGGAGCAAGGCAGGCAGGAACGGTCACCGGCGAGGCAGCCTGCGTGGGATGCTCACCTTACCTCGCCTTGCACTGCCTCTGTGTCGCTTCTTCTTCTTCTTCTTCCGGACCACCTTAAGCACTTTACCCGGCGGCGGGGGCAAAGCGGCCTCCAAGTGTCAGATGACCGAGGCCAGGGGCGCAGGCCTGTTCCCCGCAACGCCGGTGAGACTTTGCCTTCGGTCTTCACCACGGCGTGCTAAGGCGCCGGTCTGGGGCAACCACTTCCACCGAGCTGACCGAAGTGGAATGGGATACTTATACAAGGACTCAAGTGTGTGGTTCTCGTCTAGTTCTTCCCCCTCTCTTGCTCCTGTCAACTACGATCTCTGCATCTTCACACGCAAGCTCAGTGGTCGCATCCCACATCTCGCAGCAGCCGTCACACATTACCACGACTTCCTCTGCACGCAATCATAGACTAGACTCAACATGGCACCCACCGCACTCGTCGACTCTTACCCACCCGTCAGCCACGACTTCAATGCTGGCGACTTGACTCCTATCCAGAGCAAGAAGTTGCCCTCTGCTGCCCCCCTCTCGCCCAATGCTGGCGCAGAGATGGATGCAGTCAGCGATGCCGTCGACACGATCAATGCCTATCTCGGCGAGCACCCTGACGCTCCTCGCCCAAAGAATGTCGAAGAGGCAGAGGACGACTCGTGGAAGACTTCTGGTTCCAAATTCGATGCTGAAAAGGACAAGGATCAATTCCGAAACTATGAAGATGCAATGGACTCGGTCAAGAACTTCTATGCCGAGCAACACGCACGTCAGACTGTCGAGTACAATATTGCCATGAGGGAAAAGTATCTGGGCAAGGACAGAGAGGTCAATGCACGCATGACCATCTGGGAGGCCATTGACAAGCTCGATGAACTCGTCGATGAGTCCGACCCGGACACTTCCCTCACTCAAAGCCAACATCTCCTGCAGACTGCCGAGGCAATGAGGCGCGACGGCAAGCCTGACTGGATGCAACTCACCGGTCTCCTTCACGACTTGGGCAAGCTCCTCGTCTTCTTCGGTGCAAAGGGACAATGGGACGTCGTCGGCGACACATTCGTCGTTGGTGCTGCCTTTGCTCCTGAAAACGTCTACCCCTCTACCTTTGAGCAAAACCCCGACTCGGTCGATCCCCAGTACAATACTGAGCTGGGAATGTACGAGCGCGGTTGTGGACTAGAAAAGGTGATGCTCTCGTGGGGTCACGATGAGTACATGTATCACATCCTCAAGAGTCAGAGCACTATTCCAAAGGCAGGACTGGACATGGTACGCTACCACTCCTTCTACCCATGGCACCGTGGAGGCGCCTACCGACAATTCCACAAGGCTGACGGATCGGATGAGGACGCTCTACAGGCTACATTGGCCTTCAATGCTTATGATCTGTACTCGAAGAGCGATGAGCCACCTCAGATGGAGGAGCTAAGGGACTACTACAGTGCACTCATCGACAAGTACGTTCCTGGGGTCATTGAGTGGTAGAGAGTAGAAGCAAAAGACCAGTTTCGTAGCATCATCGTTCCGTGATCCCTCTTCTCCATATTTTCTTTACTTCTGTATCGTCACGCTCCCTCGTTTCGTGATATGCCCTCTGACTCCTTGGCCCTTGATTCGTTCGTCCCTGTACTTAGTTCTTTCATCCTTATACCTCCGGCTACATTCGTATCTGTTCCGACGTCTCTTCAATTCCGATCAGTGACAAACGAAGAAAGGTGTTCAGTGAGATCGCATTCCCGCAGGACTCAGGGTGGAACGCTACCAGAGTGACTCACGAGGGGGCATTGGAGGACCCTAAAGGGTTCGCGGACGCAGTGCTTACGTAAATCTGACGATGCATTGAGCCTGGGGGGGCACGGACAAGCGGCTGAACCCTTCCTTCCCGCTAAAGACTGCCCTCTTTCCCCGCATACCGACCCATTTCGCAGTTTTGGTAGGGGTGACCAAGTATCCTGTATAATTGCGACCAAAGTCTCGAGGCGAGGCGATACATCTTCCTCGGACCCGGTTGCGCAGCAGCCATGAGCTTGCGTCCGCTCCTCCCCAAGCTCCAGCAGCACCATGCCGCTTACACAATACCCATCTCCAGCAGCCTCGCTCCTTTCGTTACGTATCATCGCCCCACTCTCCTCTCTGCAACTTCCTCCGCCTCCTCCTCCTCCTCCTCTTTCCCTTCAAGCTCCTCCCGCTCACACTTCAGTACCTCCCTCCCCCGCCTTCAAGACCACTACAAGATCCTAGGCGTCTCCCGTTCCGCCTCTTCAAAAGAGATCAAGGCTCAATTCTACCAACTCAGTAAACGGTATCACCCCGATGTGAATAGAGATGATGAAGGTGCCAAGAAGAAGTTTCAGGAGGTAAGCGAAGCGTGGGGTGTGCTAGGGAATGAGAGGGGGAGGTGAGTTGCGCTTGCTCTTGTGCTCAAGGGGTGGGGAGAGAGCGGGGGGATGAAAGATGGGCGGCTGGTAGGATGGGAAACGCTGACTCTTTGTTCCCCCTCTCCCTCTTCACCTCAATTCCACCACCCTTCCTTCACCTTCCCATGTTCTGCAATCAGACGAGACTACGACCGTCAGCTACGCACAGGCGGCGGTGGAGGAGGTGGAGGTCCAACGCAGAACTACAGCTATGATCCAGGGGACAATGCCGCTCGTCGAGCGCGAGCGACGTACGCCTGGGAGTACCAACGACGTCGCGGTGACTCTAACAGAGGTAGAGCCGGTCAGGCCCGCTCTGGTCGTGCTGCTGCCGATGAACAAGAGGATACTCGCTCAGCACACGCCCGCGCTCGTGGGGCTTTTGGCGCTGGGCCTGGTGGAGTTGGTGGAGGTAGAGGGAGTGGGGCGGAGAGTTCTCTCTTTGAGAAGTACGCAGCTCAGCAACGCAAGAGGGAGGAGTTTGCTTCTTCTCGCACTTCGGGAGCTGCAGGGAGTGCAGGGTATGGCGGTGCAAGTGGGAGTGGGAGTGCGAGCGATCCCTTCTCGACGAGGGTGGAGGAACATGAAGCTCAGGGAGCCTCGCCGATTATCAGGTTCATACAGATCATAGGGACCCTCACGTTCATCTTCGCAGTGGCGACAAGTCTTGGCACTGGAGGCAGCAGTGGCGGTGGGGGTGGCAGGCTAAGAGCAGAGCGTCAGTGTGGAGGCAACGGGGAAGAGGAGGAAGAGGAGGAGTGGAGAGGCAAAACGGTCATGGTTCTGTCGAGGTCAGCTCGTGGTCTGTCGGCCCTTCGAGGAGAGCGACTGGACAATGGCGTACGGATAGACTAGATCATCATGCAATGAAGCACATCATAGACTCGTTGCGTCTGTCTCGCCATCTCTTTGACCTCAGACTTCAAACGTCATCGATGCCCTACACCGTGTCCTGGCAGGTAGGGGAGGAACGAGGAAGCGAATGTTTTGTATTTGTACGATGACAGCTTCGACGGATCTACATGACAACGTAGTTGGGCGGTGTGTATCTCTTGCTGTTGTAGACGCTCTTGCCGGCCTGTCGGTGAAGAGATGGAGAAGGATCAACGAGTCAGACTACTCTTTCACACCGAGCAAGGCGATGCCTGCCCTTTCTGATCTAGAGGGTCTTGCAGACTACTACTCTTCTGACAACTCACCTCCCATCCATGCACATCCTTCATGATCTCCTTTTCCCTCGCGAGCGCAGCCTGCTCTCTCCTGTAGGTGTCGCGGTCTGCCTCTGCCATCAGCAAGGGTACGAGGTTGATACGGGACCAGGCCCTCTCGCGCTTGAGCTCCCTGAGAGTAACAAGAGGTACAAGTCGGGGGGCAGAGAAAGATGTGAGATTTTCTCCAACGAACAAGTGCGTCCCCGCAAGCCTGTACTCACCTCTGCTCCAAATTACCCTGCACGACCCTCCAGAAACCATAGCCGCAAATGGCCAATACACCGCCAAAGATTGCGATTCCTCCGGGTCCCTTTCCAGGCAGATTGCGCTTGTAGCGGATCGGCTCGTAGCCTCCCTTGGGCGGGAGGTCCCTGTTAGCGAGAAAAAGCGAGAGATGAGTGTGGCATTAATGGTGTCAGTGCTGGTAGATGGGGATTTGAAATGGGGGCCTGTAGATGCGAGGATAAGATACTGACTGGTCGTAGTGAACTGCACAGAGTGGGGTCAATCAGACCAGGAGAGTCAGCGAGGTGTCCCTCTTCTGTTTCCCATCAGCCACGCTCCTCTTCCCGTCTACTCACTGCCACCGCTCATCGTATTGTATGCTGTGAGAGGATGTGGTGGACGGACAGTGCGAGGCTTCTCCAGGCGCTGCCATACGGGACCAGCCCCCGGTGGGTGGGTTGCGCCTGGACGCTCGTCGCGCGGTGCCGAGAAGCGACGGAGCGGAAGCACGGACAGAGGAAGGGACGGGCACGGAATAATTTTGCAGGCAGTCAGAGCTTGGCCACTCCTTCCTGGGACCTTGCACAGCACAATACCATCATCTTCTCAACCCCTTGCTCAGCCTGCCTCGTCTCACCCACGATGGCCAAAGGAGGCTCGCAGCTGGCACAGCTCAAGTCGACTGTAAAGTCTTCGGGCATCAATGACCGTCGTCAGCAGTCCAACTCGGCGAAGAAGCGCAAGAGGGGCCACGCCTCCAATGAGCGAGACGAGGCGGCCGCCAGACGAGAGGCTCTCGCCCGTATCAGCTCGGACACAAAATTCAACCCTTTCGAGGAGAGGGTGACCAAGGTCAAGCATGAAGTCCTGGGAAGGAAAGTCAAGGGTGCTGTGGGGAGGCCAGCTCTAGCCAAGCAGGGTGGGCTGGCACAGCGAAATGCTATGCTTCTGCCCGAGTACCAGAACAGGAACAAGACCAGCACTTTTATCGATCGGAGATTCGGAGAGACAGATTCGAATCTCACGCCAGAAGAAAGGGCGCTCGAGAGGTTCACAAGAGAAAAGCAAAGGCAGGCAAAGGGAAAGAAGGCAGCTCTCTTCAACCTGAATGACGACGATGCTGCCGGGCAGGAAGAGGAGCTTACGCACTTCGGGAGGAGCCTGAGCGGTATGGGAAATCTGCCCGAGCTCAGCATGATGGACCGAGATGGTGAGTACGAGTGACCTAGAAGAAGAAGGACTACATTCCGCTGGCTCGCAGCACGGGACATCTATAGGATGATTTGCACCCTTCGTGGTGTCCATCTGTTATTATTCACCGGATACGTGCTTCAAGGGAGACGTCTTTCACTGAAAAGTGGGCGTACTCTATAACGATGACGGCTACAAGTTCTACTGGAGATTTCTGATTGATGACCCGTGGTGCAAGCCAATGCGAGGAAGGAGAAGCAGGAGAGAGGAGACTAGTATGCATCGGAGTGACCAGCTGAGACACAGAAGCCTTCTCTCCTTGCCATGAAACCTCTACAGATGGGCAAATCGACGGCGAGACCACTGGAGCTGAGCACTTTGGTGGCTTTGAAGCTGAGCCTGCAGATGTGAGTTGCAGCTGTGCGTGAGGACGTGACACCCGAGTACTTCGCTCACAGTACGCCTGCTCTCGTCTCCCTTTACTGCAGCCCGATCGGCCAAAATCAAAAGCTGACGTCATGAGGGAAGTCATGGCCAAGTCGAAGATGCACAAGATGGAGCGACAACAAGTTCGTGATGCCGATGATGAGCTCAGGGCACAGCTGGATGATGAGCTGGGAGACATTCGCGGCCTCTTGATGGCAGGCCCTTCGAACCCCAAGAAGGGAGAAGAGGCGTCCGCGTCCTCCGCGTCTACACAGGCGCCTCAGGCGTCAGGAAGCAACTACGATGCATTTGTGAGGGAGCTGGCCTTTGAGCGTCGAGCCAAGCCGCAGGATCGGCTCAAGACTGAAGGCGAGCTGGCTGAAGAGGCTGCCGAACAGCTGCGCAAGGCCGAGCAAGCTCGACTGAAGAGGATGAGGGGAGAAGAAGTCGATGAGGATGGCTCAGGCGCAAGATCAGGAGGCAAGAGGAGAGCTCCGCAGGCCGATGATCTTGACGATGACCTCGACATCGAGGGACAGACAGCGGCCGAGGTGTATGGACTGAGCAGTGGTCTAGGGGAAGCTCAGGACGATACGGCTGCCATGGAGGAGGAAGAGGAAAACGATGAAGATGAAGAAGACGACGAGGACAGCAGCGAAGGCGAGCAAGATCCTGCGCTAGAGCAAGAAGGATATGGAGAGGCCCTGCTGGACGACAGCGACGCGGAGGATTGTAGCGAGAACGGGGATCTGACGACAGCGTCTAGACCTTCAAAGAAACGAGCAAAGGCGACCAAGATTGGCGCTGGACCCACCACTGCAGCAGTGCCCTTCACTTTCACCTGCCCTACTACTCATACTCAGTTCCTCTCAATCATGGAGGAGCATTCTCTCCAGCCCAGTCAAGTGCCCCTCGTCGTCAAGCGCATCAGGGCGCTCTACCACCCATCTCTAGCGGAGGACAACAAATTTCGGCTGCAAGCCTTCCTAGGTGTCCTCCTCGATCATGTGCTGTACACGGCCGGAGAGGCAGCTACAGCTACGACGAGCGAAGAGCGTCTGTCTCACCTCGACTTGATTGAGCATCTCGTCAAGCCGATCTTCGAGCTGACAACGACGTATCCGATCGTGTCGTCAGAACACTTTGTTCAGAAGCTGTCCTTGATGGAGAAGAATCTGACGAGGGGTTTGGCGAAAGGAGCGCTGCGACCCGAAGCACGGACCTGGCCTGGGGCAGCTGAGCTGACCCTACTGAGGGTAGCAGCCTTGATCTGGCCTACTTCGGATCAAAACCACCCTGTCGCTACCCCGCTGGCCCTGCTCTCTGCGCACTACCTTGCTCATTGCCGGGTCCGAAGCCAATCCGATCTTGCAGCCGGCCTGTACCTGGTGTCTCTCGTCGCCCATCAACAGGAGGACGCCAAGCGTTTCGTGCCCGAAGCTCTCAACTTCTTGCAGAACGCACTGATGCTATTGTCACCACTGGACAAGAAAGGCAAGGCGGTAGCTCGAAAGGCCTGCATGGATTATGCCATTCCCACACCCGACTTTGAAGAGGAGCACGCCAAAGCAGTCGGTCTACCGAGTGGAAAGAAGACGGCACTTCCGCAGTCTAGCAAGCCGGACCTGTTCTCGCTGCTGGCCGCAGAAGAGCCTTCAGCCGAGGCTGGCGTCGCCCTGCTCAGCGTGACTCTGGCTTTGATCGAGGCATTTGCCGATATGTACGAGGGTACCGCCGCCTACATTGAGCTCTTTGAGCCCTCCCGCCTGGTCGTAGACTCGATTCCTTCCTCGGCTCTTCCCTCGACTCTTGCCGAGCAGCTCAGCGCGACGTCCTCGCACCTCACAACTCGTCTTGCTGAAGCGCGGGCTACCCGTCGACCGTTGCGCCTGCACGCACACCGCGCTATTCCCCTCGCCTCGTTCATCCCCAAGTTCGACTCCTCTGGCGGGTCACGCTACGCCCGCTTCTCCTCTGGCTCAAACGATCCCGATGCAGCGCGCGCCGAGGCCTCGAAGCTCAAGGCCCTCGTCAAAAAGGAGCGTAAAGGCGCTGTACGCGAGTTGCGCAAGGACAGCCAATTCCTTGCGGCCGAAAAGGCTCGGGAGCGCAAAGTCGAAGAAGACGAGTACAAGCGCAAGATTGGCAAGATTGTCAGTGGATTGGGAGAAGAGAGGAGCGAGCAGAAGATGCTCGAGAGGGAGAAGAGTCGACTCAAGAAGAGGGCTGCGGGTGGGAAGAAGTAGAGGAGAGTGGGAGGGAAGGGGACGCTTGGACATTACACGCATCCATCATCAATTGTATTCATATATTACATCGATTCATACACTCTTTGCCCTTAGCGTTAGGAGCTTCATACTCTATTGAGCACGAAGATATATGTAACGTGTATGTGTATCATCTCAAAGTACAGCTACAAAGTGTGGACCTTCCGTTTATATATCCGCCGGGCCCCTCGGGGTCAGTCTCCGAGCAACCCAATATCTATTCCATCCTTTGAGTCCACAGGGGAGACCGACTGGGCTCTGGAGGAAAAGGGCGCAGGGCTACCAGGCGCTTCTCCCCAGGCCGGGTACGCATCACGCCTAGCTACCGTACTGATTCCTTTACCTTTAGCGGTACCGGTCACTGGACTTCTGAGAGTGAGTCCCAGTCCCGGTCCCAATCCGAGTCCCATGTCGAGGCGAGATTTGGGTATGATGCCCAGCTCGCGGAGAGAAGGTAGAGTGACCCCTCGGATCCGACCTGAAAAACCAGGGGGAGTTGCAGACGTGACCCCATTTGCGTGATACGTGGGCAAGAGAGGAGAATTCGTTCCCAGCGCTGGTCTAGAGCTCGCCCGAGGTCGAGTCAGATGAGCGCCCGTGGAACCACTTAGCTCTGTCCGTTGGGATTCCGATTCGATGGTGCCCGCGGACGTGTGCAGCGCCTGTTGCAGGGAGACGCTCGAGGCTCTGCGCATCTTGTCCACTTCGTCTGTACTAACCGTCAGCCTGCTAGGTCTTCTACTCTTGGAGGTTACATCGCCGTAAATGGAGGAAGAGTGAGAAGACGTAGACTGCCGACGCAGACGTATCGGTCCTGAGCTGCCTGTGTGGCTCGCGATGGACGCTGAACGATCACGCCCTCCCGGTCTTTGCATGCTGTTCCTGTGTGGCGATAACAAAGATCTAGACGATTGCGGCGAGAGGGACACCTGTGGTGAGGAGGGGCATCGTGGAGGATTTGACGACTTGTGACGGGTCTGTTGCGGTTCAGGCCAGGAGAAGTAGCAAGCTGAAGGCTTTGGCAAGGAGCGGCCGCAGGTAAAGTCTCGCTGACCGGAGGAACCCTCTTCCTTCTCCTCGAGATAGGACCGCTGTATAGCGGATAATCCCACCAACTTCTTTCTCGGCGGTTGCCGAGGGGGAACAATCGGCGTAAGGCTGACCAGCGACGAATCGTCACATGGAGTGTGAGGTTGGCTGTTCTCCGAGCTGGTAAGTATCGAAAAGTGAGTAGTGTTACTACTTGCTGAGCTGCACTGCGAGCTCGAGGAAGCGTAGTCTTGATCGATGGGAGAAGAGACAACGAGGACCTGTTGTGTGTATGGGATGCCACCAGAGGGAAAGAGAGGGGCAAAGGAGACGCTTTTGCTATTGTGGTGTAGCTGCGGCTTGCGGCCTTTCTTCTGCCCTGTATGTTCTGAAGCTGTCAAGAGATGCAGTGGAAATGTGTGTCAGAGTGGTCGAAAACCCGCTGTGCTGCTTTCCTTCTCACATAAGCCAGACTCACTGAGCATGCTGACGACTTCCTGTACACAGCTGGTTCCCTTGCCCGGCCACTGACTCGCTGTGACGTCGTTCACTCGTGTTGCGTTACCCGACGCCCGTGAGGAAGCACACTGGCTGCGATTGAGCTTATGAGAACCGAGTGTCTGAGCAAAGGACAGTGTATGGACAAGGCAGACCTATATACAGTTCGCACATACAAGAGAATAGAGGTTCGCTTTTCACGTTCTTAGTGACACTTGCCAGAAGCTGCCGATCCGAAGCAGAGGGATAAAGGTGGCGGTGCTGCAATCAACGCTTTTAGGCACTCATCACCGTGCACAAGTCACCATTCTTCCTTCACTCAAGCATGGACGCACGGTACTTGTCTTTACCACGATAATATTAGGTCCGCTGCCCCGAGACAAGGGCAAGTGAGAGTGCACGATTGCCATGAAGATGGTGAGGTGGTGCGGGATTTGAATCAGTGTAGTCGGCTTATATTGATCGAATCGGTAAAACGGACGCTAAAGAAGTGGTAAAGATGGATTGAATGAAGTAGTAGAAGAGAGTAGGAACACACAGTATGGAAGTTG